ATAGTATATAGGTAAGGAAAAACTATTACTACAAGGAAAATTAAAGAGGGTTTTTCACTAAGTAAAAATTCTCAGCAGACTTCTTTTTTCTGGTTGTGATCAAGTGAATAAAGATTTATTCTAACACCATTATTTATTCTAATACTCTCCTTTTTTATATTTCATTTTATTGTTATGTGCATTCGTGTTTTTGCCATGGGTGTCAGTGCTCTTAAACCCTGAGCCATCTCTCCAGCCCTCTCCTTTAAAACAACAACAACAACAACAACAACAACAACAAAAAAAAAACAAACAAACACAGCTTTCACCAAAATTAGACTATAGTAAGCAGGAATAACAAAAATGGTTTATTAATACTGGGTCTGATGGCACAGGCCTGAAATCTTAGCACTTGTGAGATATCAGCAGGAGGATCAAAAACTTAGGGCCAGCATTGGCTATATGGCAAGTTTGAAGCCAGCTTGGGCTACATGAGGCCCTGTCTCAAAATACCAAAACCAAACAAACAAACATTTATCCAGACAATAACAAAGATGCAAGACACTAACTCATGCACAAAAAATGTTAAATAATTCAACAATTACCTTTAAGCAATGCCTGCTATTGTACTATAGAACACCCTAACAATCCAAGTTACTTAGTTACACATTCACTCATAGTTGACGTTATATAATCTAAATCTACTAAAGGTTTATATTTCTGAAAAATAATCTGATGAATTCAAAGCCATAAAACATGGGAGGGGAGAGGAAAGAAGGAATGTGAAACAGATGGCATCTAATTTTTTTTCCCTTAGTCCATCTTGAACACAATCCCAATAATGTCAAAATCCAATTTAGCTTTCTAAATAAGTAATCTATAAAACTTAAAATGGTAATTCTCAAGTAAATTCACTCTTTTTTCTTCCCAGCTTCTCACAGATTCTATATTAGGCACGAATGGGTAGAGTCAGCTATTAAGAGAAAAACTATCATTTTACAAATTCAAAGTTCTTCCAGGAAAGTCTATTATGTATGTAAAGCCACTGAAGCAGTTTTTATCAAAAACTGGTCACATTAAAATCTAGCTACAGGGGCTGGAGAAATGGCTCAGCAGTTAAGAACACTGACTGCTCTTCCAGAGAACCTGGTTTCCATTCCCAGCACCCATATAGCAACTAACAACTGTCTGTAACTCCAAGATCTGACACCCTCACACATGCATGCAGGCAAAACACCATGAAAATAAAATAAAAATAAATAATTGTAAAAAAATGTAGTTATATTGTCTTTTTTCTTAAATAAAGATTAATGAACTTGATAATCTAAATAATTATCTATATAAAATACACTGTAAGATAGAAACAAGCTCAGGAGAGAAGAGTCACTTGGTTGGAGTAAAAACAAAGTATTTTCTGAACCTTTAAAAAAAATTTTAACATTTCCACAGTAACTTTTATTTCTGATTTAACAGCACCACATCATAATTAACTACTTTGCTTATTCTACAATTCTCCTACATGGTATGTATGTACAAATGTATGTATGTGTGTATGTTTCCCTACATATAGCTCCTCTATCATGCCTAAACTTTTAAGATCATCAAAGATACGCTCAAAGAAGGGTCAGTAATTTTTAGATTCTCTCACAAGCAAATTCCACAACTGACAACTGCAAAATTGGATTGGTCACATACTTATTTGTGGAAAAGATCACCAAGGAAAGTATCTCCAACAGTTTTGTATTTGTGGCATATAATTTTGGCAGAATTTTTCATACCAACAGCTACTATCCTATTCCTTATATGAAAATAAATGAAATATTAACATTTTAAAAGACAGGTAAAAAATGGGCACTGCTAATAGCAAAGACAATGTGACCTTAACTTTAAGATTCAAAAAGTGATGAAAAATAACAATTCAAAAAACATAGCAAACCCCTAGATTTATAATTAACACTGTTCCCTTAAAAGATCCATTTAGAAATTTGAATCATCTTACCAAAAATCAACAATAGCAAAACATAATTTCAACTCAGCTTAAAACAGAGATATTGAAAATTTCTCTCAATTTTACAAAAAAAAAAGAAAAAAAATGTACAAACCTCTCTGAAAGGTCACACTGAATTGGAAACCTTGTACCTACTTTTCATGCAAAAAATATTAAAGGGAGTTATTTATATTCAGCCTCTTTTGAATATAAACTACATTTGAAATGTTTTAAATTACTAACCACAAAGGAAACCCGTTAGCTGAAAATCCGACATAATCTGGGTGTGGTAGTGTCTGCTTTTAGTCCCAGCATTCAGGGAGCAGAAGCAAATGGATCTCTGTGAGTTCCAGGTAAGCCTGGTCTACAAAACAAGTTCCAAACCAGCCAAAGCTATACAGTGAGACCCTTTCTCGAAAAGAAAAGCCAAAAATAATAGGTTACATAGAACTATTACTTTAAATCCACAAAGCAAATAAGTATATATCGTTTTCATTTTCTAAAGTATTTCTACATTCTGATAACTAATGATTTAAAGGAGAAATTTATTGTGTTTTCATTTATTTTATAGTTTATATGTAAGAATTCTCTAGAACTCAGATGAAGTAGTATACAGCTGTAATACCAGCACTCAAGGGGACAGAGTATCTCAAGATCAAGGTCAGCCTGACTTATATGCTGAGACTGTTTCAAAAACAAAACAGAACTAAATTTTGCTAACATTATAAACTAAATCTAACTAAGATGATTCATGCAAATGATGTTGACCTTAATCTTAAAATTACAACTATATTCTATTTTATGTTACAAGTCTAATTGCCTTTAAGACATATGATGTTAAGATTTAAATAAATTACTTATAAATGTTTTTCATTTCAATCCACGCTATATACAACTGCAGTTTATCTGAGAAATATCTAGAAAATGTACTTTGGTCATTTCAAGAAACAAACAAATAGTATTTACTACATGCTTTAAGAAACTATTGAAGCCAGGCGATGGTGGAGCACGCTTTTAATCCCAGCACTTGGGAGTTTGAGGGCAGCCTGGTCTCCAGAACAAGTCCCAGGACAGCCAATGCTGTTACACAGAGAAACCCTGTCTTGAAAAACCAAAAAAAAAGGAGGGGGGGAGGAGGACACTGCTGTTCCAAAGGACCTGGGTTCAATTCCAGCACCCACATGGGAGCTCACAACTGTCTGTAACTCCAGTTCCAGGGGATCTGACACCTTCACACCAATGCACATAAAATAAAGTTAAATAAACTATAAAAAAAGGGAACTATTGATAATTGCATTTTATGATACTTATGATAAATTTTTAGGGGCTAAAGTTGTAGCTCAATAGTTGAAAAGCATTGTATGTGTGTGTGACCCTTCTGGGTTGGATGCTCAGCACCACAAGAAAAAATAATAATAAAGCTGGACATGGTGGTGCAGGCCTTTAATTCCAGCATGGGGAGGCAGAAGCAGGTGGATCTCTGTGAGTTGAGGCCAGCCTGGTCTACATAAGACCAGCCAGAGCTACATAGTGAGAGCCTGTCTCAAAAAGACCAAAATAATAATTTTATATACATATATATATACATAATGTATAGAACCCCTCAAATTCTTGTTGCATACTCTTCAAATATTAGCCCGTTTCCTCTTCAAAATCCCCTTCCACTAAGTTGGGCTACCGTAACTATGTATGATTAATGACAATCTTGAAATTCAAAGGTACTTGTTTTAAACGGAGTTATATAAATAATTACCTCTCATGACACTGATTAAAATTTAACTCCTACTTGTGAAGACTGAAACTCTGCTATAGTCTATGACTTGACCAAGGTCAACAACTCACAGAAAGCACAGGCTGGGTTCATTCCCAGAATTATCTTTCTCAAAGCCAACATTTCCACTTGAGTACAATTATCTCCTTAAAAGATTAAGAGATAGCTCAACAGTGTAGAGGGACTCTCTTCTCTCCAAATGTTCACTTGTTATTCTAAGGCATATATCACAAAACTACCTCCAATTCGGTCACTTAAATATAAATGAGGAGAATATTTCTTATTCGTTTAAACCACAGCAGGTTTACTGGCAGGTGAGAAAGAGGTTGGAAAAGGCTTGCCTCAACATGTCTCATCTAGACCTCTATATGGATTTCCGTGTGTGTGTGTGTGTGTGTGTGTGTGTGTGTGTGTGTGTGTGTGTGTGAGCGTGTACATTTATAAGGCTATGTTTGAATAGTTAGATGCTTTCCAGTATTGCACTTTTCTAAGAAAATTCATACCAGATACACATCGGTCTGGGAGACTGCTAGAATATGCCATTCTTGTCCTCTGCAAATATCCGAAATACCATCCAGGAGCAACAAACCCAGTTCCACACTCTTTTCTTTTACGAGGTAATGCGTGCCCACTTGGGGGACACCGCTGCTCTAAGGGCGCCCGGGCGAGGGAGCAATAAAGGAAGAAGCGGGGGAAGCGCACGGAAGTTGGGTTGAGGGAGGTCTCATTACCCACTCTTCTGCCCTAGCTCTGCCAAGGGCGGCTCCGAGATGCCCAGCAGCCACGAAACCCCCACAAGCTCTCGAAGCCCGGCTCTGTCCCAGCAGAAAGGGTCCGGGACGCGGACAGCGTCAAGTGTGGGATGACCACAGCCCCCCGGCCAAGTCCATACACCCTGATTTTGGTCTGAGATGATGCTCCCCGCTCCTTCCCCTTTCAGAGCGGGCACTCCAGGTGGGAAACTCCCGGTTTGCATTGGCCGAAGTCGCCACCTCAGAAAGAGAGCCTCTTGCGACCGGGTCTCACCGGCCACCCACAACTCTTGGCTCGCCAAGCCCCTGGTCCCCCCGTCCCGCCCACGCCACCTTCCACAGACAGGCCCGCGCCCCACCCGGGATCCCGGCGTCCACCGCCCCGCCCCGGCGAAGGGCCCCCCCAAAGCCCCTCTCTCTCTCTCTCTTTCTCTCACACACACGCGCACACACATCCACACACATCTCCGCAGATCCGTCTCGCAGACCCGGTCGAAGCCAGAGCACCTACCTGTATCGGCCGCGCTCCGAGGTTCCAAGGGGGCGGGCGCGGTCCCCTCCCCGAGACGCCGAGTGCTTCTCTCAGCCACCCTTAAAGCGACGGCTTCGCTTTCCCAGGAGCGGGAGGGAGACGAGGAGGCGGAGGGGGTGGGGGTTAGGAGAGGAGTTGAGGGGCGGCCGAAGCCAAGCCGGAAGTACTAATGCTGGCCCCACCCACCTCCCGGAGCCGCAGAGCATCCTGGCTCTCCTGATAGGACAAACCCTCAGCAGTCACTGAGAAATTCAGACCACCACTTCCGGGTCGTCCATGCTGCAGCCCCTCCTTAGCAACAGCGTGGGGTTGCTAAGCGGAAGTGCCTGTAATGATACCCACCCCCATTTCTTCGGGGACTGTTGGGAGGTGGGTCCGGAGCTCCGTGCTGTCGTCGGGAAAGATCCTTCGACCTTTCGTTCACAGTGATGGGCCAAGTAAAGGCTTCGCTGCCGCAGGTAGCAGGCCTGTCTGTCTGGCTCCCTCGGCTGTTCGCCAGCGCCAGCCACACTACACACACCTCCCCGCCCCTTCTCGAATCCTAGGCCAACTCAGCGGCTCCTCCCAAAGCTCCTCTCTCAGGTCCCTTGCGTGAGTTTCTCCTTGTCTAGCAAGCATCTCCCTCTGGTGGATTTCCTGTCATTTCAACCAGACTTTTGCACGCATGTCGATGTTCTGAAACGGCCCAGAAGTCGAATAGAGGGTAAGAAAAGTTTTGTCTTAGCTTGTCTTCTTTAAAAAAAAAAAAAAAAAAAAAAAAAAGATTTAGCGTATTTATGTGTAACCTGGAAATAACCTAGTTATATCTAAGTGGGGGGTTGGGGGGGACGGTCCGGATAAATGGACCAGGGGAATTTTTTTTTTTATTCCCTAAAACAGCGAAACAAAAGACCAAAGAATGCCAGTAACCAAGGTTGAGTAGGAAGACAACTAATCCTCCCTTCAGAATAAACCATCATACCTATACTGTGAACAAGAAATGGTCCATACAAGAACCTCATTTAGGCTGGGGATGTAGATCTATGGTACAGCCCATGCCTGGCGTGCACAAGGTCCTTAGTTCGATTCCCAGGCACTGTAGAAGGGGGAGGGGCAAAACCTCATTTTAAACTGAACATGATAAGTAGGACTGTAATGCTCGGGCGCCAGAGGAAGAGAGAAGAGGATAGGGGGTACAAGGCCTAGGCTACATGGTGAGTTGCAGTTTTAAAACATTTTACCTAGCATGCCTCGGGCACTAGGTTCAATCTTACATTTGAAAAAACGGGTAAATGATTGTTGGGCAGAAGCAAACAAAATAATGCTCCCTTTATAAAATGGCCCATATAATTATTGTCATTACATATTAAGAGAAACCTGGGGGGGGGGTCATCATGTGACTTTATTTTTTGAGTCAGGACCTCACTATGAAGCCCTGGTTGACCTGAAGTATGTGGACCAGGATGGCCTTGAACTCAAGAGATCCACCTGCCTCTGCCTGCTGAGTGCTGGGATTTAAAGCTTGTACCACCAAGATGGACTGGCTTTGGCTTTCCTATCTTAAGTTTAGCTTCTGAATTTTTCTCTGTGCCAGTGAAAACATTTGCAACTTCAGGCCCCAATTTTATTGGCCACAAAATTATTGGTAGACTATTGTTCACCTCAGCTAAGACAGAAAACTGGGTTTAGTAACTTAAAAAGAAACACCAGGTCTGTTCATTTCCTGGACTCATAGGATGGCATTAAATTGATTCATCCTAGGTAGTCAATTCAGCAAAGCTTTTAGGAAACCACTTTAGGCTCTAATGTACCGGTAGTAGGTTGTTTAACAAACGTAAAATATTTCCACCTCCGCCATCATCGTGAGTACACATTGAAACACACAAACACACACACCTGGCCCAAAGCGATGAGTGATAAATGTGTTACCACAGTTAAATATTTCAACTGCCAATAGGTCTAAATACAAACGTTTAAATTTTAAAATAAAGACAAATATGAGCCCAATTGCTTATGATGTACCTAAAGAACTATAACATAATTATGGTTTCAAACAAAAAGATGTGGCCTACAGAAATTACTGCCTCATTAAATAAAAGTAAGTTATAATCAACCATGAGCATAAACTAATATGGAAATGCACCTACCTTTGCATAACGCATCCACTGCCTGAAGTGGTTTATAAGCAGCATGTAACTACTTTGCTAGAGCTTGGGGCTTTTTAAAATTCACTTTTCTATTAGTGTATGAAAACCTGGGTTGAGTCCTAAATGACCACGTGAGCTTTTGTAATGCTTTCTTTTTCAACACACTCATTGCGTGGAGACCTTGAAAGGTGAGTAGCAAAGTCCTAACCTAAAACTACATGTGTGAGTTTAACTATGCATTTATAAGTTTATAAATATTACAGGACTCCATATTCTTTTTATTATCATATCTATTTGTGTGTAGGTGTTGCTGCCTTTGTACCACTGTCAATGTGGAAATCAGAGGCTATGCCGAAGGAGCCCTTCATCCTTCCACCATGTTGATTCCAGAGATTGAGCTCGGGTTGCCAGGCTTGGCATTAGCAGCAGTTGCCTTTCCTTTTGAGTTATTTGGCTGGCCCAGAATATACTCTTAATATGAACTGTAAAACAGTACTATGTGTATATGCTAGATCTCAATTGCCTTCGTAAGCCAGTACAGTACCTTCATCATATATGTTTACTGTGGGACTTCCAGCCTAACAGTGTCATCTTTGTGGCACCACCCTTCCCCCCAGCTGAGGACTGAACCCAGGGCCTTGCCCTAGTTAGGCAAGTGCTCTAACACTGAGCTAAATCCCCAACCCCAACAGTGTCTTTTTTAATTCACTTTTTAATTGTTTTATTTTTATTTTTTTTATTTTTTTAAAAAAGATTTATTTATTTGTTATATATACAGTGTTCTTCCTGCAGGCCAGAAGAGGGCACCAGATTCCATTAAAGATGGTTGTGAGCCACCATGTGGTTGCTGGGAATTGAACTCAGGACCTCTGGAAGAAGAGCCAGGGCTCTTAACCTCTGAGCCATCTCTCCAGCCCCTAATTTTGTTTTATTTGTAATGACTTAAATAATTAAATTGAGCATGGTGTCTGTAATTCCAGCACTTCAGAAACTGAGTTAAGCCAGGTGGTGGTGGTGGTGGTGGTGGTGGTGGTGGTGGTGGTGGTGGTGGTGGTGGTGCATGCCTTTAATCCCAGCACTTGGGAGGCAGAGGCAGGCGAATCTTTGTGAGTTCAAGGCCAGCCTGGGCTACAGAGTGAGTTCCAGGACAGGCTCCAAAGCTACACAGAGAAACTCTGTCTTGAAAAACCAACCAAACAAACAAACAAAACAAACAAACAAACAAAAACAACCAGAAACTGAGTACAGAGGATTGACATGAATTGTAACCCAGCCTGGACTAAACAACAAAAAGAACAAATTTGGGAGCCGGAGAGATGGCTCAGTGGTTAGGAGCACTGGCTGCTCCTCTAGAGGACCTGGGTTTAATATCCCAGCACCCACATGGCAGCTCACAACTGTCTGTAACTCCAGTTCCAGGAGATCCATGGCATCAGGTATGTACGTGGTGTGCATATATATGCATGCAGGCAAAATACTCATACACGTAGAATAAGTAAATCTTTTAAAAAAAAAATTTAAAGTAAATTTGGTGGGGTTTTTTTGGGAAACTCAATACTTAGAGTAATTAGTGCTGAACATTGTTAGAGTGCTAAATATGGTAGAATACATGTATTGTCACCAGCACTCAGAAGACAAAAGATCAAGTTCAAGGCCAATCTGAGTTATAAACAATAAAACAAAATAGGTACTGCTAGAGTTCGTCTGGTTTCTCTAAACATAAAAAAATACCAAACTCGGGGCTGGAGAGATGGCTCAGCATTTAAGAGCACTAGCTGCTCTTCCAGAAGAACTGGATCCAATTCCCAGCATCCACATGGCAGCTCACAACTGTCTGTAACTCCAGTTCCAGGGGTCCGACAGCCTCACACAGACATACATGCCAGCAAAAGACCAATGCACATAAAAATAAATGATTAAAAATAATACCAAACTAGAAATGAATAGTTTATGATGAATATTCAGGGCCAGTAAGAAGAAATTTAGCCAAATTCACTATTTCTGTACTTAAGCAATAAACAATTGAAAAGATAGAAGTGATTCAGAGAAACTCAGGTATGTGACAAACAATAAAACGTTAAACCTGAAGAAGAAAAGGCTAAATATATAACATTTATTTTTAAATAACTGAAGGTTGACATGTAGAATAGCATGTTCTTTCAAGAATGGACCAAAAATAGATGAGTTAAAATGACTCAAACTCAACATTTTTTACAATTATAGTTGTTGAGTGATAGGACAGTCCATTCATTGAAGAGTTACTAGTTGGCTTGGGTTGAACAAGATGGCTTCTAACAATCTTCCAAATCTGATTTGATGACAGTCTCTTTCATGTCTGTACACTATTCTCAAAGTAAATATATATATGATAATGTTGGTTGGATAAGATCCTCCTAAACTTCCAGTTTTTCTAAAAAAAAAAAAAAAAGTTAATCTGGAAGATTCTAAGTATAGTAGAATTAATAAGCTGTATATAGGGAAACTATCTCAAAATGGGGTGGAGGGGAAGGGCAGAAAGGAGCTGGAGAGACGGCTCAGTAAGTAAAGGTGTGCTCCCTACCAAGTCTGAGGACCTGAATTTTTGATCATGGTGGAAACCATTGACTCTTACAAGTTGTCCTCTGACCTTTATGCATATTCAAAACATCTACACCTATATATATATATATGTATATGTGTGTATGTATGTGTATGTATATGTATACGTATGTGTGTATATATATGTATATATACGTGTTTATGTATATATGTATATATACGTGTTTATATATATACATACACACACATACATACTTATATACACTGTAAATAAATCCAGTACATTACGTTTTGGAAATAATTATACACATCAAAATTTGACCTCATTAGGCTCACCAGCATAAGTAGCTCTACTAGTGAAAAAGAGCAAATCAGATTTCAGAGCTACTAAAATCTGACTTTAAAAGACTTAGTTTAGGGGGTAGAGAGATGCCTCAGCGGGTAAGAGCACTGGTTGCTCTTCCAGTCATGAGTTCAATTCCCAACAACCACATGGTGGCTGATAACCATTTATAATAGGATCTGATGCCCTCTTCTGGCCTGCAGTTATACATGCAGAGCACTCATACATAAAACATAAATAAACTTCAAAGAAAAAAAAATACTTGGTTTAACCTACTTCTTAAAAACAAACCTAAATCAGGCAATGGTAGTGCATGCCTTTAATCCTGGCAGAGGCAGGTGAATCTTGAGTTTGAGGCAAGCCTGATCTACAAAATGAGTTCCAGGACAGCCAGGGCTACAGAGAGAAACCCTGTCTAGAAAAACAAAATTAGATAGATAGATAGATAGATAGATAGATAGATAGATAGATAGATAAAAATAAAACAAATAGGCCGGGCGGTGGTGGCACACTCCTTTAATCCCGCACTCGGGAGGCAGAGCCAGGCGGATCTCTATGAATTCGAGGCCAGCCTGGACTACCAAGTGAGCTCCAGAAAAAGCGCAAAGCTACACAGAGAAACCCTGTCTCGAAAAACCAAAAAATAAAAAATAAAAAAATAAAACAAATAACAAAAACAAAACAAACTTACCCCTTTGGCCGGGTAGTGACACACACCTTTAACCCCAGTACTTGGGAGGCAGAGCCAGGCCTGCATGGTCTACAGAGTGAGATCCAGGACAGGCACCAAAACTACACAGAGAAACCCTGTCTCCAAAAACCAAAAACCAAACCAAAACAAAAAACAAAAGAACAACCACTTACCCCTTTGTTTAGGCAACTATAATCCCATCCCTTGGAAAGATGAGGATAACTGTCTCAAGGTCAAGACCAGCCTGGGCTACATAGAGAATTTCAGTTCAGCCTGAGCTTTGGTGAGACCCTCTCTAAAGCTAAAACATGGGACTAGGAGTGCACGCCTTTAATTCCAGTACCTCTACAGAGTGAGTTCCAGGACAGGCTCCAAAGCTACACAGAGAAACCCAGTCTTGATAAACTGAAAAAAAAAAAAAGGGAAAAAAAAAAAAAAAAAAAAAAAAAAAAAACAAAAAAAAAAAAAAAGGGGGGGTGGGTGGGGTGGTCTAGAGAAATGGCTCAGTGAGCACTTGCTATTCTTGCCGAAGACTCAGGTTCAGTCCCCAGCCCCCACTTGACAAAAACTGTCTCTTCACTCCAGGTCCAGAAGATCTGAGGCCCTCTTCTGACAACACACACACACACACACACACACACACACATTCACACACGGTCCACATATATGCATGCAGGCAAAACACTCATAGACAACAAAATAAAAATAAATCTTTATTTAAAAAGCCAAAACCACAAGCAAAAAAAGAAACAAGAAACATAATTTTCAAAGTACTGAGATTAAAAGAAGTTCTGCTTAATGTCTAAGTGTAAAAGACAAAAAAACAAAAACCCAAAATCTATAATCAGCTGACCTGGCCTCACATGATATGTAAATTGATTTAAAAAATGACACCAATACTTGTATTTGTATTTGGAAATAAAATAGTATAGAGGATAGGAAACACAAATGGATACTGTATTGTAAAACTGAGCATTTATTTTAAACAAGTTTCACAAAAACATGGTTAATTTTGAAAACGGATAGTCTGTCAGTAAACAAAACACAATGAGAAAGTCAAATGTATCAGTTAACAGGGTGGCACATACCTTTAATCCCAGCACTTGAGAGACAGAGACAGATCTCTGTGAGTTCAAGGCCACCTTGCTCTACATACTGAGTTCAGGGCACTTAGAGTCTACATGAGATCCTGCCTCAAGACAACTACTACTATACCTGTCTCTTCAATAACCTCAAGTCATCGTGAGAAATGAAGAGAAAACTGACTAGAGACCTAAAACTTCATTTATAGCATGATTTTTTCAAATATTTTATTTTCAACTTAAAAAATAGAGGCAAAACCTGGGCATGGTGGCAAAAGCCTTTAATCCTAGCACTCAGGAGGCAGAGGCAAGTGGATTTCTGAGTTTGAGAACAGCCTGGTCTACAGAACAAGTTCCAGGACAGCCAGGACTACATAGAGAAATTCTGTCTCAGGAGAAAAAAAGAACAAATATACATATGCAAAAAGGTAATATTTTATTATACTAAACTGAATATATATCCAAGAAAAATTATTCTTTTAGTGCTGGAGTGATAGATTAGAGGTTAAGAGCACTGACTGCTCTTTCTAAAGGACCCAGGTTCAGTTCCCAGCACCCACATGGCAGCTCACAACATTCTATAATTCAGGTTCTAGGAGGTCTATCACCCTTACACAAACCTACATGTAAGCAAAACACTAATGCACATAAAATAAATAATTAAAAATAAAAAAAAAAGAGCAAGCCAGTAAGCAGCACCTCTTCATGGCCTCTGTATCAGCTTCTGCCTCTAGTTTCTGCCCTGCTTGAGTTCCTGCTCTGACTTCCTCCAAAGATGAACAGTGATATGGAGGTGTAAGCCAAATAAACTCTTTCCTCCCCAGCTTGCTTCAAAAAAAAAAAAAGAAGAAGAAAGAAAATTTCTTCTTTTAATGTATCTATGGAATCTTTGTTCCTGATTCCATTAGTATTTTGTTTTATTGAGATAGGGTTTTTCTGTACAACTGAACCTGGCTGTATCTGTAGATGAGGCTGGCCTCCAACTCAAAGAGATCTGTCTGCCTTGGCCCCCAGAAAGCTGGGATCAAAAGTGTGTGCCACCACATCCAGCTAACATTCCTTAAAAAGCATACAGTTAACTTTTTCAACATTTTATCTTTGCCACCCCCCCATTTTGAGAAATGACAAGAGATTAAATTTAATTAATACTAATTTTTTAATGTGAAAACAACTAAGCCGACTTTTTAAAGCAAAAAAGCCATAACAATACAGCACTATTTCAATAATGAAGTGCCCATAAAATGGTATTAGTACAAAGATCTAAGCAAATCTCAAAGACTTAGATTAGTAATTAGAACATCACGCAATATTTATTTTAGCAAGAAGCTTAATGGGTAAAAGAAGCAACATATGATAGTATAAATTCAAGTATGCAATTATAATTTACAAATTATAAAAATTCTCCCTTTTCATAGCCAGTTGCTTTTGAATGGTGAAATTTTAGCGCCACCCCCTTAACTGAATGCCTGCTCAACAAGCCAACTGAACAAACACATCTACCCAAATTTGCATCCCAGAATACCTAAGTAAACTGTAGGCATTATTCAGGAGAATGAGTTCTATTCATTTTCGTCATCTGTGTGATCAGGTTGCAAAGGACGTGCTCTGTGAAGAAAAGAACTTCAGTCACTCAAGTATCAACTGTTTTGGAAATCAGAACATTAATAATGAAGTAGGTCTGCTCAAGTAAGTAGAAATGAGAGAAAAATTAAACTCCAGTAATTAGCAAGTGTAAACAAACTCCAAAAACTAGTGCAACAAAACTTTTTTTTAACACTATTCCCTGTTATTTCATGGAATCAGCATTTTTCTTTTACTTTTTTCTTTGGGAGCCTGTCCTGGATCTTGCTCCGTAGACCAGGCTGGCCTCAAATTCACAGAGATCCGCCTGCCTCTGCCTCCCAGGTGCCACTGCCTTTTTCATTTAGGACATGCTGTGAGTTTTATTTCAAAGGACCCAGGTAAGCAGTGTGTGCCTGTACTCCCAGCACCGAAGGAAGCCGAGGCAGTAAGATTGCCAAGAAAAAAAAAGTCTGAGGCTGCTCTGGTCTGCATACCAAGTAGCAGATCAGCCAGAACTAGGTGGTAAGACCCTGTCTCAACAAAACAAGAAACAAACTGGAGAGGTAGCTCGTTCATTCTTGAAGAGGACACCAGTTCAGTTCCCAGCACACACATCAGGCAGCTCTCAACTTCCTGGAACTCCAGCTCCAGGGGATCCAATACCTTCTTTGGGCCTGACAGGTACCCACGTGTGTGCATGTGCGCGCGCGCGCGCGCACACACACACACACACACACACACACACACACACAAATGAAATAAATATTACAAAGTGATAAAAAATAAAAATGCATATCTTAATGTGTAACTCCTGCACTGGGAGGCTGAGGCACGAAGACTGCTGAGAATTCCAAGTCCTGCTTGGATAGCACGGGGAGTTCTGGGACAGCTTGGGATACATAGAGTCTACAAATAAATAAATAAACGGGGCCTTAGAGACTGCTCACAGGTTAAGGGCGCTTGCTGCTCTTATAGAATACCCAAGTCCAGTGCCCTGGACCCATTGGATAGCTCACAATGGCCATAATTCAGTCTCAAGGGACACAGTGCTGTCTTCCGGCCTCCCTAGGCACCTGAACTCACCATGCACATACCTATAAACAGAATTTAAATCTTTAAAATAGAAATATGATCAAGGGCTGGAGAGATGGCTCAGCGGTGAAGAGCAATGGCTGCTCGTCCTGAGGTTCTGGGTTCAATTTCCCAGCACCCACATGGCAGCTCATAGCTGTCTATAATTCCAATTTAAAGGATCTGACACCCTCACATAGGCACACATGCAGACAAAACATCAATGCACATAAAAATAAATCTTAAAAAAGATATTATCAAATATATGTATAAAACTGTTAAAAATTATTAAAAATATCTCATTCCCACAACATTGGTTTTAATGTTAAGTGGACTAATAAATAGAATATAACCTGTTAATAAAAATTTCATGGTATACAAAGTAAAAAGATTCATTTGTATAGAGAAAAAAATATAGCAAACAAATTGCCATATTCTTTGGGCTACATGGATGTATTCTTTTAAAAAATAACCTCTAAATCATTTGGTAGGCTATGATAATCACAACATTTGAATAAATGTACATTAATATTAATCCAAAACCATTCTGTACTTACCATCCTTTTTATAGTAAGTCAATTAAAAACTTTCTCATAAATCACAATTTTCTTTTAGAGTTAACAAAGCTTAGTGATATTTACTCTAAAATCCTTAGTTTCCAAGTGAGATAATGAGATCCAGTGAGCCTGAATGGTCATAGACCAGATACTAAAAGAAGGAAGCTATAACAAAGTATTCAGCCTTGGTATGAGATTACCATTGCTTTGTGTACTAATAGATTATGAAAGGTCTTCATTGTGTTTTCCTGGAAATTAAGACAAACACATCATGACCCAAACTTCCTTTTTGCAAGGCCTGATTTTCTTTAGGCATAATAGTTATGTTCAAGATTTATGTAAATGGCGCTGAAGAGACTTCTTGATAGGTAAAATGCTTGCAATGCAAACATGAAGAGCTGAATTCCATCCCTTCAGAATCTACATTAAAACGCTGGCACAATGTCATATGCCTGGAATCCCAGTGCTGGGGAGGCAGAGACAGGAGGATTTGAGGCTCACTGGCCAGCTGTCTAGTCAAATCAGCATGCTCCAGGTACAGGGAGAGATCCTGTCTCAGAAAAATAAGGCACAAAGTGATTGAGAAAGACACTTGAAGCCAGGCTTGAATGGTGGCACACACCTTTAATTCCAGTACTTGGGAGACAGAGGCAGGTGGATCTTTCGAGTTCAAGGCCAGCCTTGTCTACAGAGTGAGTTCCAGGACAGCCAGGACTACACAGAGAAACCCTGTCTCAAGAAAAATAAAATAGAAAAGGAAGACACTCCATGCTAACCTATGGCTTCCACATGTACAAATGTATATGCATATCTATGCACATCCAGACAGACACACAGACAAACACAAAACTTAAGCAGATGCTTGCTGTACTCATCACAACAGCTAAGATATGAACTAGCCTACAGCTGTGTCAATAGATGAATGAACAAAGAAAAGTTGACACATCTACACAATGGGATTTAATTTCGCTACAAAGAAGAATGAAATGACATTTGGAGGCCAGAGAGATGGCTTTGTGGTTAAGAGTGCTTACTGTTCTTAGGGGCTGGAGAGATGGCTCAGAGGTTAAGAGCACTGGTTGTTCTTCAAGAGTGCTTACTGCTCTTGTAGAGGACAGGAGTTCATATCCAGCCCTCACATACGCTACATAAGTACTCCACCATGGAACTATATCCCTTCCACTGGCTTTGGTTTTTTGAGACAGTCTCACTATGTACTGTAGGGTGACTTTGAAGTCATGATCTGTCTCAACCTCTGTAATTAAGGCATGTGTCACCATGTCTGGCTATTGCTGATTTATATTATAGATTAAACTTGTTTATGAGACTATATAATTTCTTTCCATGTGATGGAAAGTCATTTTTTGTCTTATGTTTGTTTGTTTGTTTAGTGACAGGGTCTCAGGTAACCCAGACTGACCTGTGTAGCTTTTAAGTATATATGTAAGAAAGATGAGTTGTGGGCTGGAGAGATGGCTTAGGAACCAAGAGCACATACAGAGGACACAGTTCAGCACCTACACCAGGTGGCTCACAAGCACCTGTAGCTCCAGTTCCAGGGAATCCATGCCCTCTGGCCTCTATAAGTACCTGCACATATGTGGTATACATAAACTCATGCAGACACATACATATATGCATAAATAAAAATAAATCTTTTTTAAAATTACTAATTGAGCATGATGTAAAATGCCTATCAAATGCATTATCTTTTTTTTTTTTTTTTTTCAGTGTTAAGATGTTGAACCCAGGGCCTTGCACTGACAAGTCTCTGTCACTGACTGAGGCACATCTCCAGGCCCAGTCTCATCATTATGGCAGCCAAAGCAGAACAGAGTACAAGGCTCTAGCTCCAGAATGATTTCAATGCAAACCTGGGTTACCAGGTAGAGGGTTATTACTCGGGAAGCAGATTCAAACCCATCATTGCCCCAATGTCACTTACTGTACAAAAAGCTAAACGCAGCCAAGTATGGTGGCTCGCACTTCTAATCCCAAAACCAAAGAGGCAGAGATAAGGTAGGAGAGTTGCCACTTGTTCAAGGCCGACCTGGGCTGCAGAGTGAGACATCTCAAAAGGAAGGAAATGAAGGAAGGAAGGAAGGAAGGAAGGAAGGGAGAGAAATGAAGAAAGGAAAGAAAAAGAAAGAAAGAAAAAGGAGAGCTGGGCAGTGGTGGCACAGGCCTTTAATTCCAGCACTCAGGAGGCAGAGGCAGGTGGATCTCTGAGTTCCAGGCCAGCCTGGTCTACAGAGTTCCAGGACAGCTAGGGCTGTTAAACAGAGAAACCCTGACTCACACAGAGTTAAATGACTTTAGCACAGTGGTAAAACTTATCTAATGCTTACAAGTCCCAGAGTTCATATGTAGCACAGAGAGAATGGCAGAGAAGAGAATTTACGGTAGTATCTTGTACATCCTTCCAAAGTACATGTAAAGTCTGAAGTATTTTCTCATTTTCTAACTACTTTATAGGCCTTTTGGTTTAGTGAACCATACAGAACACTGAATCTCCATTCCACACTGCACACTTTTTCTCTAGATCAAAGTGAAATTATTTTCAAGGTGGACTTTTAATGATCCATATTTCATAAACCACATTTAATGAAATCATTAACCAATGTTCAGCATTGTCTTTTTTTTTATTGTTACATGTGAAACTCCAGGAGATTTACGATTGGTGTCCACCATCTAATTAACCCTTGAGGTGATCTTCAAGGCAGTCCAGTTTGAGCTTCTCGGCATTTTCTGTGTTACTAACCCAGTGGGATGAGTAGCTGTGAAGACCTGGTTGTTTTCCTTGCAACACTGGATTTGCAGGTGCCACTTGGTCCAGTATTAGAGTGTGATCTGGTTTGAGGCTCTTAACGGATAAGACACAGAAAGGTAAGCAAGACCCCAAGGATACTGGTTATAGCTTTTAGGGAGCTGCTGGAGGATACCACGGTGGTGGTGGCTTCGGGGGCATCAGTTTCATAGTAGGTAGGGCCGGCTGTGCTGGTTAAAGGGACAAATGACTCAACCTGCATAGGAAGGACCACAAGGAGCCACAGCCCCAAACAGAGTCTGACCGCCATCCTCTCGCCCCTGAGGGTCAGGGTGCCGAGTGTCCAGCTTGCTGCTTGTTGAGCTGGAAGTTTTCTAGGCTTTTGGCTGGGGTGGAGATTACAAACTAGGTCTTACTTTCATGGAGACATCACAATGACAGTGTCATGGTGCCACACCCTCTTTCTACACTCAAGTCCTTTTTTGGTTTTGTTTTTTGAAGCAGGATCTCAGGTAGTTCAGGCTAGCCCCTCAATCTCACAAGTCTTTCCTTTAGAATTAAAGCATTTTTGAAAAGGAAATAGTGGGCAAGACATGTTGGTGCACACCTCTAATCCAGCACTCAGGAGGCAGAGGCAAGTGAGTCTCTGAGTTCCAGGCCAGCCTGGGCTACAGAGTAAGTTCCAGGCCAGTCAAGGCTACATAGCAAGATCCTGTCTCAAAAAAGAAAATGAAAATGTGGGGGCAGTGAAATGACTCAGCTGGTCAGCTTGCTTGTCATTTGAATCTGGACCCCTGAGTTCAACTCCTGAAACCCATGTAGAAGTGGAAAGAGAACTGACTCCTTAAAGATGTCCTCCGACCTCCACACGGCCTCCATGGTGTATGCCTTGGTTTCAATACTTACAAACCTCCAAGAATTCAAATACTTTTTTTCCTAATTTTTTTTTTAGGTGCAGAGTAATGAAGCTAATGCCTCAAACATGCTAAGTTTTCTCCACTGAGCTACATCCCCAGCCCTTTTTTTTGTGATTTTTTTTTTTCAAGACAGGGAGGATTTCTCAGTGTAGCCCTGGCTGTCCTGGAACAGTATAGACTAGACTGACTTGGAACTCAAAGAGACCCACCTGCCTCTGCCTCCTTAGTGCTGACATTCAAAGCATGGGCCACCATGCCTGGCTTTTTTTTTTTTTAATTCTTACTAAAGTGATAAATGTTGATTGTTAGAAATTGATGGTAGGTAGCATGAGACAAGATTTTTTTACCCAGATAAATAATTATTGATACTGTTATATTTTTGTTATATTTTGTTATAAATATTGTTATATTTTCTTATAGTGTGTGTGTCTTGCAAAGCAGATTGTACTTTGAAAAAAAAAGATTTTATTTTTATATACATTTATTTTATGGGTACATGTATGTTTGTACCCAACTGTATGTATGTATATCACATGCTACAGGAACCCAAGTAGGTCAGAAGAGGTATCAGGCCCCCTGGTACTGGAGTTATATACAGTTGTGAGCTGCCATGTAGATGCTGGAAACCAAACCTGAATCCTCTGTACATGCCCTTAAACACCAAGCCATCTCTATAGTCCCAGATATTATACTTCTGTATCCAGAATTTTAGCTCAATCACTAGCATTCTCATTTCATTAATCTTAAAAACAAACTGGCATGGTGGTGCCTCTAATCCCAGCATTCAGAGGCAGATGAATCTCTCTGAGTTCAAGGCCAGCCTAGCCTACATAGTGAATTTCAGGACGGCCAGAGCTACAGAAGAGGCCCTGTCTCAAAAAAGTCAAAAAAATAATTTAAAAAGCTCAGCCCTAGTTTGAAGAATTCTTAAGGATTTATAGAGAAGGTACCAAAAAAAATTACAGAATTCTATTGATTGTTTCTAGAGTGATTTCTGTTTATATATTATATATATTAATTATATTTATATATGTTTATTATATATTTCTCATGAAAGTTCAACACATAGTATTATTACTTGTTTTGGTACTGGAGACTAAACAGAATGCATGCACACTAAACTGAGTTACACCCTCAGTTCCTAACTAGTAATTTTATGAGGTATAAGGGGCTCAATGGAATTCAGACTAAATGAACTGCCATAGAAATTTCTTTTTGAAAAAAAAAAAAGCCAGAAAAAAAGGAGCAAAAGGAGGGAAGAGAGGGAAGGAGGAAGGTAGGCAGACTATCAAGTGTGGTGGCTCATGCCTCTCTTCCCAGCACTTAGCAGGCTGAGACAGAAGGATTACAAGAAGTTCAAGTCTGTCCTGGACTACATACAGAGACTGTCTCAAAAAAACAAAACAAGCCGCGTAATGGTGGTGCACATCCTTAATTCCAGCACTCGAGAGGCAGAAGCAGGAGGATCTCTGTGAGTTTGAGGCCAGCCTGGTCTACAGAGTTCCAGGACAGCTAGGGCTGTTAAACAGAGAAACCCTGACTCAAAAACCAAGCAAACAAACAAACAAAATAAACAAAAAGTAAAAACAAAAACAAAACTGTAAAAATTAGAGAATAATAAGTGAATAGGAATCAAGCCTCTTTAGAGTAAGTAAAAATTAATTTTTGAAAGACATTTGAAATTTCAGAGTGACATAAGAAAGTTAAAGCATAGTTTTTCTTTTCTTATTGGCTTGAAGAGGAACTTTAAAATTACTCACTATCCCATTTGTCTTTTATTTTTAAGGGGACATTTTCTTTGTCTTCCAGAACATAAACACTTACTTTCTCTTTGCTGTTCCTAAGCCACTGCACCCGGCTTCTTCGGGAGGAAGCTGGTTCTCTTTTTCCGAATCTTTCGGGGACAGCCTGAAGAACTCTCCGATGCCTTTTTGCCACTTCGGAGTTGGGCGCACACAAACTGGGTTCCCTCCCGCATACTTATTTTCAGCTATAAAATAGAAACAGAACTAAATAAAAACATATAATTGCCTTTCTTTAATATCAGACTCCCAGAGGTATTAAGTAATATAACAAACATCTTAAATTAGAAAAATCAAGCTGGCGCGATGCTCAGTGGTAAAGAACACTTGTTTCTTTCAGAATACTCAAGTTTGGGCTGGAAAGAACTGATTTCCACAAATTGTCCTCTGAGTTCCCTATGTGTGTAATAGTGTACAAATCCATGCATATATGAACACACACACATACACAAACACACAGACAATAAATATATGTAATAAAAATAATTTGAAATGAGAATACTACAATTTCCCATATTTTTTGGCCTTAAAAACACAAATCTATGACCATTTTTATTTCATTGGCAGAGTCGGGGATGAGTCAGTATTTATATACCCCAGGCTGGCTTCACATTCATTCTTTAGCTGATGCTAGCCTTGAATTCCTGATCTTCCTGCCTCTACTTCTCAGATGCCGGGGCTGCAAGCACATGCCACTACACTAAGCCACTTCTTGTTTTCTTGATTATTCTTGTGAGACAACATATTGCTAGGGCCCCTGGTATACCTGGTGCTCACTTCGTAGCTCAGGCTGGCTTTGAATATACAGTAGTCCTCCTGCCTCAGCCTCCAGAGTACTTAGGATTAAAGCCATGCACTTTTTGCCAGGCTGCTTAACACATATTAAGGACCTATTCAGTTAGATCTAGTGATTTAGCAGTAGGCTAGACAGTGGGAGGTGGCCTTGATAGAATTAACTCCAGTTGTACAAAATATAAGACATTCTTTATATGTTTATCTACTTTCAAAAATTTTGTCTACTACTGTATTATCTGAAGAGGTGAAAATAGTAAATATTTTCTAATGAAATTTTTAGATTTGGTGAAAATTGAGGGCTGTGTACGGTGTAGTACATGCTTGTAATCCTAGCACTCCAGAGACTGAGGCAGGAGAAAATCAAAGCCAATCTGGCTAAATGCACATAAAGATCCTATCTCAAATAAATAATGGTGTATGGTGGTGGTGGTGGTGGGGTTGGGTTAGCATAAAAACCATGAATTATCGGGCATGATGGCTGACTCCTGTGATCCTACCTACTCAGAAGGATAAAAGCAGGAGGGTTTTAACAGCAGCTGGGTAACATACCAAGGATCCCATCTCAAAGAAATAAAGCAGGGTGTCGGTGGTACATACTTGTAATCCCAGCAATCAAGAGAGAGAGGGAGAAGAGGGAGGGTGTATGGATGTGGCTCAGTAGTGTACCGAGCATGCACAAAGCCCTGGGTTAGAGCTCCAGCACAAAATAAACCTGGCATCCATGGCACATGCATGTAACGCCAGCACTGGGGATGTAGAGGATCAGAAAGGGGGCTAAAGGACCTGGAGTTCAAGGTTATTCTCTGTATGTGGAAATTTTGAGGCCAGCCTGGGCTGCATGAGACCGTGGAAGAAGGAAGAGAGAGGGAAAGAGGGAGAAGGAAAGGGAAGCAGGCGAAAGGGAGGGAGGGCGGGAAGGAACGGAGCAGTGGAGGAGGGAGGGCAAAGAAAAGCAAAGAGACACTTGTACTGCACAGTGTGGGTGAAGATGTAGCTCAGTGGTAGAGTGCTTGCCTGCAAGGCCTAGGGTTCACTTCCCAGAGTTGCCCCCGAGGCCTAGGGTTCACTTCCCAGAGATTTCCTGCACAGTTGGATAGACAGACAGGCAGGCAAACAAGCGCGCGCGCGCGCGCGCGCACACACACACACACACACACACACAATGTGGTAGTACTGTCAACTATCACTCTAAATCTAATGAGGAGGCACTTAAGTAGCCTCCAAGAAAATAGTAACCGTTACTATTAAGAAAAACTAAAAAACACTATTCAACAACAACAACAAAATAGGTTTAAAAAGAAACTGTCCCTCACCGCTAAGACTTGAGAGTTTTACATGAGACCCTCACACCCCTAACCAAGCCTGCTGAAAGAGCAAGGCCCCCTTAGAGAGCAAGGAAGAAATTTAGGAGTGAGAATGTCAAAGGAAACAAATTCCAGAGGAAGGAAACTAAATAAAAAAAAATAAAAAAAAGTCCACCGTGGGTCAGGGCCTCCCAGTTCAGGGCCGCTGTGCCAGGCCTGACCTCCTTCCAGGGGTGTTCTTTTACCTCCTAAGCTTCCCGGACCCGTCCTACCTTTTCTCGACGAACACGATGCAGAATTGGTGACAAAGGTGGAAGAGCCAAGCACCTTCCTAGGGGCTCGAGAGGCCACCACTGCAAAGAGAGGAAAGGGTGGCGTTCAGAAGAGGCTGGAGAGCTCGGACCCTGGAGCTTTGTTCTACCAGGCCCAGCCTAGCGGACAGTGGGGTGATGCCCAGTCCCAGAACGACCTCGCCCGGTCCTCGGCAGCTCCCTTAAGGTGAGGGCCTGGAGCCTGCCCCCTAGCTGGGCTCGATGGGGGGTGGGGGGCAGCCACGGGCTTCTCCATCCCAGGGACAGGCTGCCTGGGGAGCCCCCAGCCCCGCGCTGCATCCCTTCACCTTTTCTGTAGGCTCCTGGGACGTAGTTTGCTTTGGTCCGCACCATGTTCCTACAGGAAGAGACAACTCGCTCCGACGCTCCAGCTGCGGATGTCTTAACTGGACAAGAACCCGAAAATGACGTTCCCGCCACAGTTTAAATGGTTCTCTTTCCCGCGCGCTCCAAGCTCTTGAGAACCGTGGCTCTTATTGGTTCCGCGCCTTCACCCTGAACCAATTGGCAGCGTCCAGCGGGTGACAGCCTCGAGACCAGGCTTTGCTGGCCAGTCCATCAGCCCCAGGGGTCGTGATTCGTACCCACTCCTAGTGGGCGGTACCAGGACTCCAGGGGTGCGCCAAGTGTGGGCCCCGAGGTAGGTTGTGAACTAGCCAAGTGGGTCGGCTTATAAAATAAAACATAGTAAAGATAGGAATTGCAATATTTCTTCAAAAGTTACCACAGAGTTAAATCCATGGTGATTAAACCCTGAAAGTGAAAATAAAAATTAAGTGGATTTTTAGATGCAAATCAAAGCTAAAGTTTAATATCCTTAATATCTACAGTGTTTTAAATTAACTTTCTGAGGTGGGAGAAAGGAAAACGCAATTTAGTTTTTTACAGTGTTTTTAAAAAACGTTTTCAGATCACGTAAGACTAAAAAATTGGACAAATTGTCCATACACACATAAAAATGAATAAACATGGCCACAAAGCTAAAAATCTGCTAAGTGTAAAAAGACTACAGTTCCAACCCACGTGAGAATAATGCTATAATAAAGAAATCATAATATTTTCTGACCCTATGCTTCAAAAATCATAATATTCCTAAGAATTTGTCTTTGTTCTGAATGTCATGCACGGAGCGAGAGCATTTGTGCTTGCTGCAGGATGCTTCCCACTAACACTTGTTTGAAAGGCCACCTTCAAAGCATAAGTACAGAGCTACTTCTCTCCAGTGAATTAGGCTCGAACAGCAACAAAATCTGCTCCGGACCTTAACCAAACCAACAATTCATGGTGTTATACAACCTACAGATTTCAAAGCCAGGCCTAGTGAACCTTGTAATCTCAGCCCTGAGGAGGCAGTGAGTTCCTTGCCAGTCTGGGCTACACCACAAGGCAAGGAAAGGGACTAATGGGAGGGGAGAAAAGGGAGGGCAGGGGAGGAGGGCAGGGGAAGGGGGCAGGGGAGGGGGAGGGGAGGGGGAGGGGAGGGAAGAGAAGAGAAAGAAAGGGAAGGGAAGGAAAGAGGAAAGGAGAAAGGAGAAAAAGAAAAGAAACAAAGAAAAGAAAGACACACACACCCTGGAAAAAAAAATAGAGGAGAGATGGCTCAGCAGTTAAGAGGTTGCTCTCTTCCAGAGGCCCTAGGTTCACAGGTTCAATTCCCAGCACCCACATGGCCTCTCACAACTGTCTGTAACTGCAGTTCTAGAGGATCTGACACCCTCACACAGACATACATACAGGCAAAATGCTAATGCACATAAAATAAAAACAAATAAATCATTTAAAAAAGGAAAATAAAGGGCTTAGACAGTCATTGAATTAACATGATAATATTAGCAATAGTAGTTTATCTTAACCCTGGAGTGTTAGATTACAACCAAATTCCCACCAGAAAAATCAACAAGCATTCCTTTATTGTCATTTAGCCTCATGAAAATGCACACTGGCTCTTAAGTGGCATTGTTTCCTTTTCAGTTAAAGACCTTCTACTCAGGTCTGAATTGCTTAGTTAAGCTCACATTCCAGAGTCCTGCAGAGAAAAAGGACCTAGAGAATGTGTCTTTTCTCTTGCATTTCTACCAAATGGCTAGAGAGAATGTCAAATATACCTCTTCATACATGGACAATCTACATATTATTGTAGTTGTGATTGTTTTTTGTCTTTTAACACAAATGATGTTGATGAGGGATGCACGTTAGAGAAAAACACACACAAAAAAGGATGATACTTACCAAATGTTTTTAATTAAAAGGCTACTTTGGGGGCTGGGAATGTGACTTAATTGGTAGGTACAGCACTCACCTAATATACATAAACCCCTGAATTTGCTCCGCAGCACTACATAAAGATAGGCACGACGGAGCATGAGTGTAATCCTAGCATTTGGGAAGCAGAGGCATGTGGGTCTCTGAGTTTGAGGCCAGCCTGGGATGCATGAACCCTGTCTAGAAGGATGGGATGATGATGATGATGATGATGATGATGATGATGATGATGATGATTGGGGCTGAGGCAGAAGCAGGAGGGTGTCTGTGACTTGTTTACATATGGAGTTCCAGAACAATCAAGGCTACATAGAGAGACCCTGTCTCAAACAAAACAAAAAGATTGCTTTGGAAAAGGCCTTCTTTAAAATTAAATAAAACAGAATTGTGTGACTTAAATATAAACATCTTGAAAACCTCACACATTAAGAAAAGTTGCGGCAGAGCTGGCAAGATGGCTCAGCAGGTAAGCACTCTTGCCATCTAACTGGATGACTTGAGTTCCAGTCCCAGGATCCACAGGTAGAAGGAAACTTGTGACTCCTGCAAGTTGTCCTCTGACCTCTACCTGGGTGCCACAGCACTGAAACACCCCCGCCCATGTACAAAATAAATGTCTTAAAGGAAAGTTACAAACATTTTCAAGAAAAGGGGAACAGAAAAGTTGTGTATTATGTATTAATGGAATTTGTTTAAATTTATACCTTGCTACAGGAGATGTGACCCAATTAAGTACAGTCTTTACCACTGAGCTAAACTATGGGAGTGAATAAATATAGAAGAGTAGATGATTTGAATAAACTAGAATTAAAAATGAATGCATCAGATTTTTATGAAAGGATAAAATTTATTCTCACCATTAATGAACATTGACTGTATTTTGCTTTTTTTAGAAAAGCTGGTGGGCCAGCAAAATGGTTTAGAAGGTAAAAGCTCTTGCTGCCAAGCCTGACCACCTGAGTTTAATTCTCAGGACCCACACATACAGTAAAAGGGAAGAACTCACCCACAAGTTCTGTCACATGTGCATTGTGCGTTTGTGGTAACCCACAGACATATACACACATGGACAAACACACAAATAGATATGATAATTTTTTAAAGATTTGTTTATGTATATTGATGTTTTGTTTGCATGTACATCTGCAGACCAGAAGAAGGCATCAGATCCCATAGATTCTGTGGCATAGAAGGTTGTAAGCCGCCATATGGGTTCTGGGAATTGAACTCAGGACTTCTGGAAGAACAGTCAGTGTTCTTAACCGCAGGTCCATCTCTCCAGCCCCAATATGATAACTTTTTAAGACAGGGCATCACTAGTAATCCTGGCTGCCTGGAACTTACTACATAGACCAGGCTGGTCTTGAACTCACAAAGGTCTCCTTGCCTTTGCCTCTTCGAGTTCTGGGGTTAAAAGCATGTGCCACCATGCCCAGCTAATGTAATTTATTTTTTTAAGTTTTTTTTTTTCCCCCGTATGTGTAAGTGCCTGCATGTATGTCAGTGCACCACCACATGCATGCCTGGTGCCTGTGGAGGCCAGAGAAAAAGGGTGTGGGAGTCCCTGGAATTGGACTTCCAGATGGTTGTTAGTCTTCATGTGTAGTGGTGTGATTCTAGTCTCAATTACAGATGGCACTAAAAATAAGCACCACCATCATCAGAACAAAAACTACTACAGTACTTACAAACAGCCTGCAAGGAGTGGAGTTTTTGTTTTGCTTTGTCTGGCTGAGGATTGAACCCCGAGATTTTCACATGCTCAGCAGGCAGGGTACCACTGAGCTTTATGCCCTGTCTCCCTCCACCTTACCTCCTTTCTGTTTTGAGACAAGGCCTCGCTAAGTTACAAAGACTGGCTTTGAGTTCACTTCGTATCACAAACAGGCTTTGGATTTGTTATCTTCCTGACTAGAGCTGTTGTAAATGTTCTACATTTGGAACCCGACTAAATTTGAAAGCTGTACCCATCCTTCGGGGTCCTACTTTCTTTTATTCCCATTACAGCTCTTCTATAGGTGCATATATTGTCTTAGCACAATTGCCAATATACTTTCTGGAGGTACACCTGTATGTGGAAAAATCACTCAAGCGCAGAGCACCCCCCCCCCACACACACACACACGTGTAAACAGACCCGGAAGCTGATAGAAGCCGGAGGCGGCCCAAGTAGGCGGGATCAGCCTCAAAGGTGGTGCGACCGAGCAGGGCGGTGCAAGCTTGCGGAACCCTAGGCGGCGAGGTCGCCGTTGTGAAGGGAACTAGTCCGGCGCAGGACGAGAAGCTTTTGCAGCCCAGCTGGTTCCGGTTGGGGAAGATGGCGGTGGCTGGGGCGGCGTCCCTGGAGCCGCTGGTACACTGGTGCACACAGCAGTTGCGGAAAACTTTCGCCCTGGATGTCAGCGAGGAGATCATACAGTAAGATGGGTTCCAGGGACGAGGCGGGAAGCAACTTTGTGGTACGACCCGGTAGGGCGAACCGGAAAGCCAAGAGGACTAAGAAGTTGATAAGAAATATGATAAAAGGGGCTGCCGAGGGACTTTAGTGTTTGAATTTTAGCCTCCACTTTTTCAGTTTAGCCCCTACATCAGTATGTCAGACCATACGCACTTTCCTAGGAAACTGACAGCATCGTAATAATTAGACCTGTAGGATTGTCTCGGGTGGCTCTGTTGACTCCCCATGGGAGACCTTAATTTGGGGGATGTGGGGTGGCTAGGAGGAGGGTGGAGGGTGGATCTGTGGGTGGTATGTAGAGTGAGTAGAACATTTCTTAATAAAGAAAAATGAAAAAAAAAAAAAGATTGTCTCGGGAACTGGTTTGCTTACAGATTGTGTGGAGAGTGAACAAATCAAGACTCGCTTTCTAGAAATTTCTTACTCTGAACGTTGTAGTTTGTATCAAACAGAATCCATAATTTACATGGGGACAACATTAGTACAGTATAGATAGTTCTAATTGGAGAGTCACAGCTTCGGTTATCTGTTGCCACTTAATCAGTTTTGGAACCTTCAGCAAATGAATTTACTCTTTTATAACTCCCAGCCCTTTATTTAGAAAATGAATAATTAATAGAGCTTGCCTTTAAAATTCTTATGAAACAGATGATGATTATTTAATATTTGCTTGAAATAACTAACTTAATTTGTTGCTATAAGCCAGTCTCTGGGGCAACCAAGATGATATAGACAAATTGGGTTTACTGTGTTGACGAGTTCTGCGATGTGAAGAAGCTGAGGGTTTTCTGGGAACACAGAATAATCTTTTCAATACTAAATAAACTATCCAATAAAGGATATGGATTATGATTTGAGACTCTTTAAAATGTACTGGAAAAGATGCCTCTCACCTGAGAACAAAATTAGCAGAAGCTGAGGTTCAAAGTATCCATGTGGAGGGAAGATTACAAAAAGAAACTGGATTAATTGCTATTCCAGAATTATAAGAAATACGGTCAGTTTTCTGAGGCTGAGAGAAATTAGTTTTTTTTCCTTTCTTGACAAGTAAGAGTTCAGATAACCTGAGTGTCTTAAAGTTGAAACTGTAAGTATGGCTTACCATTTGCTTACATTTTGAAAACATTATAAGTTAGACAGAAGCCTGCTGATCATAAGCATTCAGGCTACGCATGCTATAATATTATTTAAAGTACTTATTAAGTGTTCACTAGTTGGCAACAAGCTATTACATCAGGATGAAAGCAGTTGCTGGGCTTTGTTTGACATTTAATTGAGAACAACACAGATGTAATATTGTAAGAATGTGGATAATTTCATATGTGTCTTAAATATTAAAAGAATTTTGGTTGTTGTTTTTTCAAGATAGGGTTTCTCTATGTAGCCCTGGCTGTCCTGGAATTCGATCTGTAGAACAGGTTGGCCTCAAAATCACAGAGATCCACCTGCCTCTGCTTCTTGAGTTCTGGGATATGCCACACTTTCCAGCATAACTTTCTAGTTTTTTTAAAATGTAATTTTTTTTTTTTTTTTGAGACAGGGTTTTTCTGTGTAACTCTGGCTGTCCTGGAACTCACTCAGTAGAACAGGTTGGCCTCCAACTCACAGAGATCCACCTGCCTCTGCCTCCTGGGTTCTGGGATTAAAGGTGTTCCAGGACAGGCTCTAAAGCTACACAGAGAAACAAAAACAAACAAACAAAAACAAAAACAAAAAAAACTTTTAAATTATTTATTTATGAATGTGTACACACATTTGTGGGGTCAGAGGACAACTTGTGGGAGTCGACTCTCTTTTTCTACCACTTAGATCCACCAAACTGAGGTCATTAGGCTTGGTGACAAGCACGTCTACTTGCTGAGGTGTCTCATCATCCCATATTTAACCTTCTGAGAGATACTGTCATCTACAAAATTCACACTTCAGAATCATGTGATAGAGTTAGCAAAAGGAGGGGGCCAAAAATTTTGTGTTGAGCTACATTCATAGCTGTCCTGGAGTGCATGAAGCCCATAGGCTGCAGTTTCCACACACCTGTTTCTAGTACATGTGCTTCCAAAGATGGGACAGTTCCTTCTTTACAGTTTATTTATTTATTATGTATACAGTGTTCTGGTTGCTGGCAATTGAACTCAGGACCTCTGGAAGAGCAGCCAGTGCTCTTAACCTCTGAGCCATCTCTTCAGCCCCCAATTCCTTCATTTTTAAAAGATGGATTTATTTTATGTGTGTGAGTGCTTTGCCTACGGAGGTTTGTGTACTGTGTTTGTTCCTGGTACGCACAGAGGTTAGAAGAAGATGTTGGATCCTCTGGAGTTGGAGTTACGGAGGATTGTGAACCACCATATGAGTGCAGGAAACTGAACTCATGTTCTCTGCAAGAGCAGCAAGTGCTCTTAACTGCTGAGCCATCTCTCCAGCCACACAAATTTCATAAAATCCTGAGAAACAGTAAATGCCTACCGTGTAAGTTAGATTATGACCTACTTGAAGCCAGGGTCTCTGTCCTCATCAGATTTATATCCTTAGCACCTAGCATAGTACATGGCTCAAAGTAAACCCTCTTAATAAATTAATGAATGCTTTTTGTTTGTTTGTGTTTTTGAAGTAGTGCTGGAATTGAACCCAAAACCTCATGTGTGCTAGGCAAGTTCTGTATGACTAAGCTACCCTCAGCCCTGATGAATAATGTTTAGTACCTTCATCCCTGTTATGATTTCTGAAAGTCATACAGTAAGCTATTCTTGTTTCAACAATTTCTGTCTTTACCTCTGAGGTATGTTTTGTCAATCGAGAGTGCTGAAGAGCTGCGAGAGTACGTGACAGACCTTCTCCAGGGGGACGAGGGGGAGAAAGGCCAGTTCATAGAAGCTCTTATCGCCAGATGGCAAAAGAAGGAGCAGGAGTTGATTTCCGAGTCTTTTCAGCAGGGCTGGAAAAAAGATGGTAAGTTAGCGTGGTAAAGTGATAATTGAAGTGTTATTGGTAAGTGCTTGGCTTTAAAGCTCACTGTTTTCTGCCACAAGGTATTACTTGTTCACAGCTAACTTAAACAGAATCTTATGTGTACATGTTTTCAGCTTAGGTCTATTCAGTTAGTAATAAATATTGCTCTAACCTATCAGGCTTTTTCTGTCTGCCTCTGCCTCTCAAGTACTGGGATTAAAGGCATGTTCCACCATGCTGGGTACCAGCCACCGTTTTTAAATTAAAAAAAAAAAAAATCACAAAAGAATCCATTTCTAGGCACAGTAATAACTTCAGAATAATTTCAAAAAGTTACAAATGGATAAAAGAAATATCTTTCAAGGGCTGAGTCTTACCCAGTGATAAGACATTTGTCTAACGTGTGTGAGAGCCTGCGTTCAATCCCTAACACTACAAAAAATTATTTTTATAAATATACTTTTTAAGATGTCTTTCTTTTTAAATTTATTTATTTGATGTGTATGAGTGTTTTGCCTGCATGTATGTCTATGCCACATGCATCCCTGGTGACCTTGCAGAACAGAGGACAGAACTGGGTTCCCTGGAACTGGGGTTTCAGACGGTCTGAGTTGCCATGTGTGTGTACTTGAAACTGAGCCATGCCTAGCCAGTGCTTTTAACCGTTGAGCCATCTCTTCAGCCCTGTTCTTTTTGTTTTGTTTTGTTTCGTTTTTTTCTTTTCTTTTTCTAAGACAGGGTTTCTCTGTACAGTCCTGGCTGTACTGGAACTCATTTTGTAAACTAGGCTGGCCTCAAACTCAGAGATCTGCCTGCCTCTTCCTCCAAGTGTTGGGATTAAAGTCAAGCACCACCACACCCGGCTCCAGCCCTATTTTCATAAATATTTTTAATGATGTGTGTATACTTGAGTGAAAGTATTGACTGATTATGAATGATATTTATATAGCACAAATGATGAACACCAAACTAAATAATATGTCATTATTACACAGTGTAAAATATTACATTATTAACTTCCATTTAGTATTATTTGGGTTCTCCTTTTTCTTTTTCTTCTTCCAGTACTGGGGATCCAATCCAGGGTGCTTGGCAAGCACTCTCTATCATTAGCTCTGTTCAGAATTATTTATTATTGACCACCATCATGAAGATGGTTTAATTTTGAATTGAGAGTAGTTCTGCTTGATTTTGTGTCTTGACTGTAAATATTAAGAATTACCTTCAGGTTTTACCTACAAAAACTAAGTAATAAACCTTGCTATTCTCTTTCTGTATTGTGTGTATTTTATTTTATTCTGTAAAGAAGTTTTAGATACACAGAGATCAGTAGACCAGCTAAAGCGGAGTAGGAGAAAAGGAAGAAACAAACAGGAAGTTCCTACATTTCCTGAACCTGATCCAACTGTAGAGGTCAAAACACCTTTAGATTTAGCCAAGGTAAGTGCTTACAAAATTAAGCTTTTCCTGGCTGTGTGGAGAAGAGGAAATGACTAATATGTTTCAGAGACCAAGTGTAGAAATTGGTCTACCAAGGTGGTTTTTAACAAATGGGTGGGTTTTAGGGACAGAAGCTGACATACTTCTTTCTGTGTGGTGTGGCAGACCTTTTTCCTTTTGAGATAAGGCAGCGTGTAGCTCAGGCTACCTCTAACTTGCTGTTATCCTTGAACTCCTTCTTCCTACCTCCCTCTTCCAAGTTCTAGATTACAATTGTGTGCCACCACTCTCTACAAGACTTATTTTATTTAATACTAAGGATCAAACTTAGGACCTTGTACATGCGTGTGAGACAAGCACTCTGCCTCTGAGGTATATTCCTAGCCCTGGATGGATAATAATTAAAAAGCGCCCTACTTTCGACTTCAACATTTGAGAGGGCAGTAAAAACTAAATGATTATATAGTTCTTGCTTTTACTAAAATTGCCAGGCCTGTTTACCTAGCAGGGGAAATACCATGATCACAAATGTGGTTTTCCCAGCGCCAGGCTTATCCATTGCACTCTGGATGTGTTGACCTCTGTGATTTTCACAAATGTGGGAAATTCAACTACATAATTTGTGGTGGTGAGGAATTGTGTTTGAACTCTCCCCTGCATCAAAACAAACAAATACGAAACAAAACAAAAACCTCACAAAAACACCCCCCAAAACAAACAAACAAACAAACCAAACTGTTAGGCAACTGAGAGACCAAGGCAGGAAGATTGAGAGTTCCAGGCCAATCTGGGCTACTTAGTGAATTCTAGGCCAGCCTGGAATGCATAGTGAGACTCTACCTGAAAAACAAGAAAAGATAGATGAATAGTATTCCTGTTTTGAAAGTTTTCTCTTCTACCATTATTATCATTATTCAGTCTTCAAAACTCATTAATAACCATGCCTAGAATTCTCTGTGTATTCCAAGCTGTCTTTGAACTCCAAACCCTCCTGTCTCAGTCTTCCAAGTGCTCAGTTTATAGCCACTGTACCCAGATAACTGAAACATTTATAGTCAGCACAACTTGACAAGGTAAATGTCCCAAAAGAAGAAAATGAATTAATCTAAGGAGTATGGTACCATGCATAAAAAATGGGTGAGAAGTGGACATGGTGACCTCAAGCCATAATCCCAGTGCTCAGGAGTCTGAAGCAGAAGTTTCTCACATTCAAGGCCAGCCTAGGCTGCAGAATGAAACTTTTTCTCAAAAAGCTAAAAAGTGGGGCCTGGAGAGATGGCTCAGAGGTTAAGAGCACTGCCTGCTCTTCCAGAGGTCCTGAGTTCAATTTCCAGCAACCACATGGTGGCTGACAACCATCTGTAATGAGATCTGGTGCCTTCTTCTGGCCTGTAGGCATACACACAGGCAGAGCACTGTATATATACATAATAAATAAATCTTTGGGAAAAAAAAAAGTAAAACTAAAGCAAAAACAAGGGGAATGAAATTTACAAAAGATTACCACAAATGAACAAAGAACATATAACCAATAGTTATATAAGGGTATTTAAACTCACTAGGAACCAGGGTGACCAATTCTTCATACTCCTAGTTTGTTTTGAACTTGTTCAATTTTAGTACCTAAAGTCTCTCATGCCTTTGCCCCAAGGCATGAACAAACCAAGATGTGTATACTAATCAGATAAATACACATTAAATCACTGAGATATTTCCTATTAGATTGTCAATGATTAAAAATAAAATTAGAGTTTGGCAGCATGCATCTAGAACTATAGAAATGTTTATATATTCTTTACTTTGAATCCCTATCCCCCACAGCCTTGTGTATGCTAAGGAAGTACTTCAACCACTGAATGACACCAAGTGCTATGTTGTCTTATTCTAATGGCTAAAGATGTTGCACACCTTTTCATGTTTGTATTGATCATTTGAATACCTGTTCTATGAAATTCCTATTTTTATTGTGTTATCTTTTTTCTTATGTCTGTTTTTCTCCCTAGTAATAGGGATTGAAGGTAGAGCCACATGCATGCTAACCATATGCTGTGCCAAGAGTTACACTCTGTCTCTTTTCTTATTAATTTCTAAATGAATAAGTTTCCTACTGATTTTTCTTATTTTAGTGATTGCCTATGCTTTGAGATCTGTGAATGTGAATTCAATAACCAACACAAGAAAAGAAAAAAAGAAAAAATAGGGCTGAGGGTGTAGCTCACTCACCTGGTAGACGGCTTGCCTGGCGTGCATGAAGAAGCCCTGTGTTCTGTCCCTTGCACTGCTTATCAACTGAGTGTGTAATCATGTGCACCTGTGATCTCAGCACTCAGGAGGTACAGGCGGAAAGATCAAGGTCGTCTTCTAGTTTGAACATAATAGTTCAAGCCAAATGTTACTAAAAAAACAAACAAAACCCAACTCACTACATTTGGGTGATAAAACATCTGCATGTGCAATATTAAATATCTCAAGGGGCAGCAATATGGCTCAGTGGATCAAAGTGCTTGCCACCAAAACTGATGACCAGAGTTCAGTCCTCTAAACTACATGGTAGAAGGAGAGAACTAACACCTGAAATTTGTCCCCTGACCTCCACATGCACACTGTGGGATATACACACTCATACATGTTTTTACACTTGTAAAAATTCCTTTTGCCGGGCAGTGGTGGCGCACGCCTTTAATCTCAGCACTCGGGAGGCAGAGCCAGGTGGATCTTTGTGAGTTCGAGGCCAGCCTGGTCTACAGAGCAAGATCCAGGAAAGGCACAAAGCTACACAGAGAAAACCTGTCTCGAAAAATCAAAAAACAAAAAAACAAAAAAAGAAAGTTCCTTTTAAAAACATATGACGCTGATTTAATTGCTATATTTACCTTGCTCTAGGCATATTAGGTGATTGAGAGCTACTAACAAATAAAACAAGTGCTAGAAAACAATTACCTTGCTTTGATCGGGCCCCTGACTATAAGTAATCTGTATCCCCTTCTTTAGTGATGTGTGGACAAGTGTAAGGTGTTACTGAACAGGACTCAGGCTTTCGATTCCTCCTTGGCTCTTTTTGTTGTTGTTGATCAGTGCCCCCGTGGTGTCTTTGTACAATTAGGCACAAGAAAGCAACAACTCGGTGAAGAAGAAGACGAAGTTTGTCAATTTATACACAAGAGAGGGACAAGACAAACTTGCAGTCCTGCTTCCTGGTCGCCACCCATGTGACTGCCTGGGCCAGAAGCACAGGCTCATCAATAACTGTCTGGTCTGTGGGCGGATCGTGTGCGAGCAAGAGGGTTCTGGCCCCTGCTTATTCTGTGGCTCTTTGGTAAAGTCCTTCTTTCCTGTTCTGTTTTTACTGGGTGCCCTGGGGTTGATTCTTTTTTGTCAACTTGAGTCATCTGAGAAGAGGGGACCTCAGTTGAGAAAATGCTTTCCTAAGATTGGCCTATAGGCAGTCCTGTGGAGCATTTTCTTAACTGGTGATTATTGTGGGAAGACCCTGAAGTTGTGTATAGTGCCACCCCTGGGAAGGTGGTCCTGGAATATATAAGAAAACAGGCTGATGTATGATGATGTTTGCCTGTAATCCCAGCACTTGGGAGGCAGAGGCAGGAGAATCTCTGAGTTTGAGGCCAGCCTGGTTTATATAGTGAGTTCCAGGCCAACTAGAGCTGCAGAATGTGACCTTGTCTTTAAAAGAAAGAAAGGGAGGAAAGGAAGGAAGGAAGGAAAAGGCAGATAGGTGGGTGGGCAGGCAGAAAGCAACATTCCTACCTTACCTGTCAGTTCCTGCCTCAAGTTCATGCCTTGAGGTCCTACCTTACTTCCCTCAGTGATGAGCTATTACCTGGAAGTACAAGATGAGATCAATCCTCTTGGGGGCTAGAGATGGCTCAGTGGTTAACAGTACTGGCTGCTCTTGCAGAGGACCTGAGTTCAATTTCCAACAGCCACATGGTGGCTCACAGCTGCCTCTACTTCAGTTCCAGTTGGGCTTGATGCCTGCCTCTGACCTCTGCAAGACCAGTCATACTTAGGTTGAACAGACACACATGCAAGCAAAACATTCAATAAAAATAAATAAGGATATTAAAAAAAATAAACCCTTTCCTCCTACCAAAATTGCTTTTGGTCATGGTGTTTTATCACAGCAATAGAAACCCTAAATAAGACACTCTGCTTTGAGTTAATAATCACAGCCATTCAAATCCTCTGTCGTTTCTCTTAGGAAATTTCTTCCCTACAAAGTTTAATGAAATCCCAGCACTCTGGAGGCTGAGGTAGAAAAGTGAGTTACTACATAACTAGGCTGGCCTCAAGCTCCCTGCGTAGCCCAGGCTCATTAATAACCGTCTTTGAGCTCCCTGTATAAACCAGGCTAGCCTCAAGTTTGTGGTAGTCCTCCTGCCTCAGGTTCTCAAGTACTGAAGTACTGAGGTTACAGACCTAGGCTATCATACTTGCCTCTGATTCTTTCTTATTTTATGTGTATAAATGTTTTGCCTGCATGTATGTCTGTGGACCACATTTGTACCTGGTCCCCTCACAGGCCAGAGGAGGGAATTAGATCCCCTGGAACTGGAGTTACAGACACTTTACGAGCTGCCATGTGTGTGCTGGGAATCGAACCCAGGTCCTCTGGAAGAGTAGCCAATGCTCTTAACTGCTGAGCTATCTCTCTAGCTTCAAGCTTCTGGTTCTTTCTAATAAAACATCTCCTTATAATTTCTATTGTCAGATTTGGAGTTTATTGTTAGAAGGAAAAGCTTTTGAAAAGTGCCATGATTTTTTTTCAGTATTCTCAACAGAAGCAAATATTTTTCCTTTGAAAGTAGGTATATGTATATTTATGTGTATAGACATATATTATTTTAATATAAATATATATATATATAATCATCTAGTTATTTAGGAATATCTGCGGCAATGAACTTTTTGGTTTTTTGAGACAGGGTTTCACTGTGTAGCCCTGCTGTCCTGGAACTCACTGTGTAGACCAGTCTGGCCTTGAACTCAAAGATCTACCTGTTGAGGCTACTTTTTATAGCATTCCAAGCAAGCAATATCTTTCAACTGCTGAATGATAATTCTTGCTTCTTCTTTATAGGTATGTACGAATGAAGAACAGGACATTTTACAGCGTGACTCAAACAAAAGCCAGAAACTGCTAAAGAAGCTCATGGCAGGTAAATCTCAGGTTTCTTTCTTGCTTTGTTTTTTCATCCTTTGAGATAGGGCCTCACTATGTACCTCTGGCTGGCCTGGAGCTCACTGGTGCCAGAATTAAAGGTGTGCATCATTGCCTGGCAGACTGTTTTTTGTATGTAAGGGGGCCTCCCTTATTCAACAATTCAATTTTTTTTCTTGGTTTTTTGAGAAGGGTTTCTCTGTGTAGCTTTGGAGCCTGTCCTGGAATTCTCTCTAGACCAGGCTCAGATATCCTCCTGCCTCTGCTTCCAAGTGCTGGGGTTAAAGGCATGTACTGACCCCTCCCTATTTCCCCCACCCGCCTGGCTCAACAATTTTTTTTTTGCTGCTGGTGATTGAAGCTAAGCTATGTCTCAGCCCCTCAACAAGCATTTTTTTAAAACTTCCTATTAAAACTGTATACCATTGAGCAGCAAAATGAGCAGTAATGTTAGATTATAACCCAAAGAAAAAATTCATATCCATATTCATTCTGTAACAAATGATTAAACAATAAGGAAGAGAGAACTCTTACAGAAGATACTGAATAATGAAGTAGAAAAAAATGAGACTGATAGAAAGAAAGTCACCATCAGAACATGAATGACAGTTCGAACTGCTGTGGCCAAGATGTTATGATGGTGGGTTGAAAATTTAAGAATAAGGACATGGAAGATGAAAGAGACTGAGGAGATGCCAGATGGAAGCAGGCTAAGTTACAGCTAAATGCTGGGACTCTTGAATTCTATCCTAGAACAGAAAAATGATAGTAATGAAAATAATTGTAAATTAGTTAATAATAAATTGTATTGATTACTATTAATTATGTTACTAGTAATTAATAGAATTATGCTGATGCAAGTTCTCAGTGATGTCTTGTTTTTGCTTTTTTTATTAAGAAATTTTTTATTTATTTTACATACTGCTTTTTTTTTAAAATGATTTATTTGTTTTATGTACATTACTGTTTTTTTTGCATGTATGTCTGTGTGAGGATGTCCATTCCCCTCAGAGGCCAGAAGAGTGAATTTGATCCCCTAAAAATGGAGTTACAGACAGCTGTGAGCTGCCATGTAGATGCTAGGAATTGAACCCAGGGCCTCTGGAAGATCAGTGTTCTTAACCACTGAGCCATCTCTCCAACCCCCAAAATGATGAAACTATATTTTTTTGTTTGTTGCTTGGTTTTTTTTTAGACAGGGTTTCTCTGTGTAGCCATGGCTGTTCTGGAACTTGCTTTGTAGACCACATTAGCCTTGAACTCACAGAGATCTGCCTGTCTCTGCCTCCTGAGTGCTGGGACTAAAGGTATGTACTATGGTGCCAGGCTCTCAGCTCCAATTTTTCAGTTTTAATCCTTATAAAGATAAATGCTGACATCCAAGGGATGAACATATATAGGAATTGTACTCTTTTTTCTAAAAATGTTGTGTTTTATTTTTGAGAACATCTGACAAAAATGGTTAAGGACCTTTTTGCTAGGGTGACACATACCTGAAGTATTATATTTGGGAGACTGAGGCAGGCGGATTGTTGGAGTTTGAGAGTTTCAGACTATCCTGGATAACACAGCAAAACTCTTATATACTAAAAAATAAAAATAAAACAAAATTGAGCTGGTGAGATAGCTCAGCATGTAAAGGCACCCTCTGCTGAGAAAACTGACTCCCACAAGTTCTCTGCCTTCCATGTGTGCTTCATGGCTTGTACACAGACAGACAGACAGACACACACACCCCGCAAAACAAATAAAATATAAAAAGAAAAAAGTTAAGCTAGGCATGGTGGTGCAAATAAACCTATAACGACAGCATTCTGGAGTCTGTGGAAGGAGCATGGCATGTGTGAAACCCGCCTGGGACACATAGTGAACTGAACATAGGCTAGACTGTTTTTAAAGACATTTTTTTTTTGGCCTCTTTGAGAATCCTTTTCCTTTTCTTTTCTTCAGAGAGATAAGATCTCATGTAGCCCAAGCTACTCTCTTTTGTTGTGGTGGTGGTTGTTGTTTCGGTTTTGTTGTTGTTGTTGTTTCGGGTTTTTTTTTGTTTGTTTTTTTTGTTGTTGTTTTTGTTTTGTTTTTTGTTTGTTTTTGGTTTTCAAGACAGGGTTTCTCTGTGTAACAGCCCTGACTGTCCTGGAACTCACTCTGTAGACCAGGCTGGCCTCAAATTCACTGGGATTAAAGGTGTGTGCCAAGACCGCCTCGGTAAATTTCTTTAAAGAAGAATAAACCAAACATACCTTTTTTTTTTTTTTTCTTGACAAACTGTTAGTATCAGATACCACTTGATGTTGGTTGGGCCTGACCTGAAATGTTTCCATTTCATTAAATGCCTCAGATCATCAGGCTGGAACTAGATCTGCAAATATTTTGTTCATTGCTGCACAACAATACAACAAATTTGTTCTATAAGAGAGAGCTGAAACTATTTGTTTTTCTTATTGAATTTCAGGGGCAGAAAATTCTGGAAAGGTGGACATCTCTACCAAGGACCTTCTTCCTCATCAAGAATCTCGAATTAAGTCTGGTTTGGAGAAGGCTATCAAGCACAAAGAAAAGCTGCTAGCGTTCGACAGAACTAGGTATTGTGGGCTAGACTAACGTGCTAAGACAGAAACTCACCCATAGATTCTCACCATTCGGAGGGCTGGAGAGTCAGTTCACAAACTAAGAGCATTTGTTGCTCTTGCAGAAACCCAGGTTCAATTTCCAGCACCTGTGTGGCAGCTCTCACTCATCTGTAGCTCCAGTCCCTGAGAGATGCCCTCTTCTGATGCCTACAGACACTCGGCAGTCACTCACAAAGAGCACACACATACATGCAGGCAAAGCACACAAAAAGTCATAAAATAAATACTGCTTTGATACTTGATACCTTCTTGGAGTGGAGTGTGAAAGGGCTCATAAGAAAGAAGAGCTAGCTGTATTGGGGGGTTTTATGGCATCTTGGCTTTTCTTTTTGTTTGACAGGGTTTCACTATGTGGACCTGGCTGGACTAGAACTCACTCTGTAGAGCAGTGTGGCATCCAACTCAAAGATCTGCCTGCTTCTGCCTCCCAAGTGCTAGGATTAGACACCACACCTGTCTCTTCTAAATCTTTTTTTTTTTTTTTTAAACATTCTGCACAAAGAACTTACAGATCACATTTATTTATTTAGTAACACATTATCTAGTTGTTGGGTAAAAAATTTTGAAGACTATATTTTCAAACCAAAGAGCAGCTATGTTAAGTAAACCATGTATATTGCAGAACAGTATAAATATTACACAGAGAGCACACAGATTTTTGTGCTAAAGACAGAATTGAAGAAAGTTTAAATTAAGCAAAAACCAAGCCAGGCATATTGGTGTATGCCTCTAATCACAGCACTTGGGAGACAGAGGCAGGAAGACAGATCTCTGTGAGTTAACACCAGCATCATCTACAGAGTGAGTTCCAGGGCAGCCAGGACTACATAGAGAGACCCTGTCTCAAGAAAAAAATAATTATCAAAAACTTCAGGTAATAAATATTTAAGATTTTCTGGTTTAACAGAGTTTTTTTGTTGTTGTTGTTTTTGTTTGTTTTGTTTTTTTAAATAAGGACTAGGGTCTCCATGCATTAGACTTTTGTAAAAATAAAATCCTGGCAGACACGAGCTGCATTCTTTTTACTTAATCCAGAGCCCCAGAATGTATTAAGCACATCTATGAACAATGTCAATTCCTTAAACTCCCAGTACAACCCTCCAGATGCTGACTGTTACACACTCTTTGAAACCACACTGAACCAAGACCCTGTGCTAGAGAAGGCACTGGAACATGCCTGGAGACTTTATTCATGAATTCAGCAAATATTTATTGAAATTGTATTTCTAGCTCTAGGAAGAGCCCGACAGACTTCTGAACCCTTGCCTCAAAGAGCTCACTCTCTAGAGCAGGGCTGCCCAGCTCTCACTCAGTTACTGCCAGCCTTTAATTCACCATACAAGAGATGCTGAGACTAATTTCCTCTGTCAGGGAAAATACAATCTTTTTAAATTTTATTAGTGGGGAGCGGAGATGGGCACACATCAGATTGTGTCAAGGCCCGTACCAAATCTTTCAATACAAAATCATTTTGTACCCTGAATATGAATGTAATTTAAATGTCTTCCTTATGCTTATGTGTGTCAATAATTAGTCATTATGGAGAAACTCGGTCTTAACTAGGTTTATGGTTTTGGTGTATTCAATTTCTGTGAGCTCCAGGTTTATTTTCTGTAGAATGATAGGAGGGTTAAGTTGTCAGAATTCCAGCCATCAAGTTTCTTATCATTACAATCTTAGAACTTGGGCATGTATTAATGAAGAACTAGAGAGTGAGGAGGAGGGGTATAGAAACTGTTACAGTAATAGATGAATAAAATACCCTAAGTGTTAATAATTAAGCCATAGGATTGAGATTTCAATGCAAACACCAGCAGACAGACGGGTCTAGAGTAATAAACCAGACCCTAATGAATTGTAGATGGGGTAGGATATTGAGTAAGTTACTGGAATAACAACTGGTATTGGACAAAACCAAGGTACATCTCGGTCATCAGGTGTAACCTTTGATCCACAGCCGGGAGGGCTGGAGCTTGAATGGAAGGGTGTGTAAAAGGTTGGGCTTGTCAGAAAGGAAGGACAGTGAATTATGATGGTATGTCTTCCACTGCCTGAGGCTGATTAGTTCTAGGAGCAGAACTGAACCTTGCAGTAGACATAAGATAGACATTGCAGCTTCAAGTCAGGAAGAGCTTAGCCTGATTTTAGAACATTCTGGCCTTTCATAGTTGATATGGGAGCCTCCACAATAGCAAAAGTTAAGTGGTAATTAGTCCATATTTGTCAACCCATGACCTACTTGCTGTGTGTGTGTGTGTGTGTGTGTGTGTGTGTGTGTGTGTGTGTGTTCTTTCCACCTTTTTCCTGCTCAGTATCCGAAGGACCCAAGTCATTGATGATGAGTCAGATTACTTTGCCAGTGATTCTAACCAGTGGCTGTCCAAAGTTGAGCGAGAAGCCCTGCAGAAACGAGAGGAGGAGCTGAGAGAACTCCGACATGCCTCACGGCTCTCTAAGAAAGTCACCATTGACTTTGCAGGGCGGAAGATCCTAGAAGATGAAAATCCACTAGCCGATTATCACAGTAGGTAAGTGGGAGGCCTCCGGGGAGTTGGGGGGAGCTGAGAACAGGGGCAGTCTGACTGTGAAGGGTTTCCCTCTAATGGATCTGGTGTTTGGTTTATTTAAAAAATTATGATGCCCGGGTGTTGGTGGAAACACCTTTAATCCTAGCACTTGGGAGGCAGAGGCAGGTGGATCTCTATGAGTTTGAGGCCAGCCTGGTCTACAGAGTTCCAGAGCTACACAGCCAAAGCTACACAAAAAAGAAACCCTGCCTTGGAAAAAAAAAAAAAAAAAAACCAACAACAAAAAACAAATAATAATAATGATAATGATGATGACAGCCCAATGTGTAAAGCTCTTGCTGCCCAGTCTTAGGGCCGGAGTTCACATCCTCACAACCTGTGTGAAGCCATTGTGCAGTACCACATGTCTATCATCTCATTATTCCAATGGCAACATAGACAGAGATAGAATTGCCAGAAGCTCATGGGCCAGTTAACCTGGTGTGTGCAATGACAAACAGCAAGGAAAACTTGTCTCAACCAGGACAGAAGGTGAGGATCAACAACTCAGGTTGTTCCCCGACCTCCATTATACGTACTATGACACATATCTGCCCATACTTTTACACATACATACATGCACACATCATACACAAAAAGATAAAAATAAAGAAATAAAAATGATGGAGGGCCAACAAATTAGCTTGGCAGGTAAAGGTGCCTGCTTGCTAAGCCGATAACCTGAGTTTGCTCTCTGAGACCCATATGGTAGAGGGAGGGAACCAGCTCTGCAAGTTGTCCTCTGATCTTCACACACATGCTATGGCACATGCATTCATGCACATTCTCACACACAAAATAAAATTTAAAAAATGCTAATGATGGTGGGTTAGAAATATATTTCAGTTGTATAACGTGTCTAATATGCACAAGGCCATAGATTAACCCAGGTACCATACACATACACAAATAATTTTATAATGAAGGAGTTCTGTATGGCGGCATATGCTTGTAACCATGGTACTTGAGGGACTAAAGACACAGGATACATAGTATAAGGCTAGCCTGGACTACATACTGAGTTCCAGATCAATCTGAGCTATATAGCAAGACCCTGTTTCACAAATAAAATAACAAAATAGTAAAAACAAAAATAATAAACCCTAGCATTACAAAAAAGTAAAGAAAATGTTTAAGGCTGGGATGGTAGCAAAGTGGTATAGCACTTGCCTAGTATCCTTAAGTCTAGGCCACATTGTTTGCCAAAATATCACAAGAATGATCTCTAGGTCACTTACTAATATTCTTTCCCCTTTGAAACCTCTTGATCTGGGCTGTCATAATCTACATCATTCTTCTTTTTTTTTTGAGCTGAGGCTCTAACCCAGTACATTGGGCTTGCTAGGCAAGAGCTCTACCACTGAGCTAAATCCCCAACCCAATCTACATCATTCTTAGCACCACTGTCTTCCATGCTTCTACTAGGAGCCTTAGTTAAAGCATTCAACTACTTTTCTAGTCCAAAGTCCCAAAGTCTTCCATATTCCTACAACCAACAGCATGATTAGGCCTATCACAGCAATACCCACTCCTGCTACCAACTTCTGTCTCAGTCACTGTTCTACGGCTGTGAAGAGACACCATGACCAAGGCACCTTATGAAAGGAAGCATTTAACTGGGGGCTTGCTTACAGTGCCAGAGGCTTAGTTCATTATTATCATAGTGGGGAGCAGGGCTACATGAAGGTAGGCATGGTGCTGGAGCAGTAGCTGAGAGCTACATCCTGATCCACAGGCAAAGAGAGAGAGAGAGGCTGGGCCTGGCATGACTTTTGAAACCTCAAAGCCCATGAGGATCAGACAAAGGACAGATCTCCTGTAATTGGAGTAAGACAGTTGTTAGCCACCATGTATAACTAACACCAGAGGGAGCCTAGGTCCTTTGGAAGAGCAATCAGTCCCCTTAACTGCTAAGCCCTTTCTCCAGTTCCATAGAACAATTTTCTGACAAATATATTTTTATTTGAATTCATGATTAAGCTCAATCTTTTCTAATAGTTGACGCTTTGCATTATGTGGTGCTTCAGAATTATCACCATTACTCAAAAATGTTGGGTAAGCATTCAGCAGGCCAATGGAATACAGCAGTAAGTAAAGCATGGCAGTGGAGTGGATTAAAAAACCCTTCTCTGGGTCAGGGTATTCCTCCTTCCAGGGTATGATCTCTTTTGATCTATAGTCAGGCACATTATCCATTGAGCCACTGGCCTGCAAAGGTATGATGTCTTTTTGTTTTGGGTTTGTTTGTTTGTTTGTTTGTTTGTTGAGACAGGGTTTCTCTGTGTAGCTTTGCACCTTTCCTGGAGCTCACTGTGTAGCCCAGGCTGGCCTCGAACTCACAGAGATCCGCCTGCCTCTGCCTCCCGAGTGCTGGGATTAAAGGCGTGTGCTACCATGCCCGGTTTGTTTTGTTTTTTGAGACAGGGTCTCACTATGTAGTCCTGACTGTCCTAGAACTATGTCACTATGTAGAACAGGCTATCCTGGGACTCAGAGAGATCCTCCTGCCTACACCTCCTGAGATCCTGATTAAAGAGGTAAGCCAGTACTCCTGGAATGGGTATGCTGTCTTAAGAGCCAGAGGATTCCTGTCTCTGTCCTTCTCTGCCTCTCTCTCTCTTTCTGTGCGTGTGTGTGTAGTGATTATTCACACAGTACATGTGAAGTTTCACTACAAAACTTTAGAAAAAGAAGGAAGCACTGTGTGTTGGACAAGTAAGAGTCCTCTTTAAAAGTTGTGAATGTTGGAACTAGAGAAATGTCTCAGTGGGTAAGAGCCCGTGCTGGGCTTGCTGAAGACCCAAGTTCAGCTTTCAGCACTCACCACCTGTGACTCCAGCTCAGGAAATCCAATGCCTTTGGTTTCACATGGCATTCACATGGACATATTTACACACAGACACACAAATATATACATTGTTTTCGGGGTTTTGTTTGTTTGAGACAGGATCTCTTCTATGTAGCTCTGGCTGTCCTGGAACTCACTATGTAGACCAGGCTGGCCTCAAATTCACAGAAATCCACTTGCCTCTGCCTCCCTAGTTCTGAGAATAAAGGCTTGCACCACCACATCCAGCAATACATAGATCTTAAAAAAGAACAGAAACAGAACCTTTTGTGTCTTGAAGCGAGAATAAAGTCCAGATTAGTATGGAGGAGAGGAAGGGGAACTCCAGTAGGCAGAATAACTATGGTTCATTTAGTAGATGAGTTGTAGAATCCTCTGGGTTAGGCTATTGCTAGACACCTTTTCTAATCTTAGCATGATGTTGATCTTGTTAAGTAGATGAATGAGTAATGTGCCCTACCTATTTTCCTTAGAATTCTTGGTATAAAGAGAAAGAAGGTGGAGTTGGGAACAGGGAAGGTTGTGCATGTCTACAGATAAAACTTTCAATTTCAATTTATTACTAAAGGTTGCAGGTGGTAACTGTGAGCATAGAAGATGACCAGTTATTGCCTCCTTTTGGTTTGTTATCACAGACTAGATGAGACAATACAGGCCATTGCCAATGGAACTTTGGATAGATCCTCTGAAGAGCCTTTGGGAGTGTTGGTAAATCCCAACCTGTACCAGAGTCCTCCCCAGGTTAGTGAATGTTTCCTCTGACTGATAATGAGACAAATAGTCTGTTTCATAGGCCCTTAGATACCAATTTCCTCTCAACATGCCCTTCAACACTTAACCTTGCCCAATATTTTTCTAATTTTTATCAAAACATTTCTGATAAGATGCTTTGTGTTATCTTCTGAATATTGTCATTTAAATGTTTTTATGGAGTCTGGTATATTTTTGTGTGTTTTTAGGTATGGTATATGCAACTCTGTATGTATGTTTGCATGTGTAGGGCTGATGTGTATGTGCATAACATATGTGTATATGTGTGTGGAAGCCAGAAGCAGACATTGGGTACCTTCCTCTATCACTTCCTACCTTACATCTTGAGATAGTACATAATGAATATGTTTTTAGGGCCTGGGAGTATACTCAGTATAGCTCAGTAGTAGAGTGCTTGGCTATGTATGAGGTCCTCAGTTTAATCTTTAGCACTGGTTGAGGGAAAGGATTTTAGAGCCTTTGTCTTCTTGCTTTGGAAGAAACACTAGCCATCCTTTTTTATTGTCACAACTTGTTAGTTTCCTACAATTGCCTGTGCCCTCCAATTAAAATACCTGTAATTCTCTGTTCCCCTTTATAGGGTGAGAGCCTTGTTTACAGCAGTGTTCCACCTTTTTTTTTAGGGCACAAGTCATTCATTTCAGAGTAATAGAATATTTCATACAATCAGGGGTTGGAACTGCTGCTCCAACAGCATCTGTTTAGCTTTTTATGGTACCAGTATGAGACTCTGAAGTATCTCATGAGGAGTTATGGACCAAAATGTTGACCCTGTCTTGGAAAATTATCCAGAATCAAACATAGGTCATTAATAAGTACAAAGTGGAAATAATTACAAGTCTTTTTGTCCTGGTCATTATGTATTTTCTAGAAGAAGGTAGAATTGTAGAGACTTCAGCATTATATCTATCCTTTAAGATGGGACATGTGGGTGAGGATGGTGATTCAGCAGATAAAGGTGCTTGACTCTTCGCCTGAGGACCTGAGAATACTAATTCCATAGGTTGTCCTGTAGCTAGAGTTTTCCTGCCTTGCCCACAGTCAGGACAAATCTTTGTCACCCGCCAGTCCCACAGCCGCTCAGACCCAACCAAGGAAACACAGAGACTTATATTGCTTATAAACTGTATGGCCGTGGCAGGCTTCTTGCTAACTGTTCTTATAGCTTAAATTAATCCATTTCCATAAGTCTATACCTTGCCACGTGGCTGGTGGCTTACCAGCGTCTTCACATGCTGCTGGTCATGGCGGCAGCTGGCAGTGTCTCTCTGCCTCAGCCTTCCGCTTCCCAGAATTCTCCTCTCTCCTTGTCCCACCTACTTCCTGCCTGGCCACTGGCCAACAGTGTTTTATTTATTGACCAATCAGAGCAATTTGACATACAGACCATCCCACAGCAGTTGTCCTATGGCTTCCACATGGGTGCTGTAGCATGCATTACCCACTCTGTCCCCAAAAACGCATGAATGAAATGTAATTTGGAAAAAAACAAAAAACAATAGCTTGGTGTGGTGATTCCACCTTTAGTCTTAGCACAGATCTAACAGGGCTAACAGATCTCTGAGTTCAAGGCCAACCTGGTCTACATAGTATGTTCCAGGTCAGGTGGAGTTACATAGTGAGACTCTATCTTAAAAAAACAAACAAAATGCTGCAACCTTGTTGCCATGTTTGGTACTCCTAAAAATTTATAACATCTCTATACTTTTTGTTCTTATTTAGAAATGAGATCAATTTTTCTTAAGAGAGAGAGAGAGAGAGAGAGAGAGAGAGAGAGAGAGAGAGAGAGAGAGAGAGAGAGAGAGAAAGCTCCCTGAGCAATGGCACAAACTTGTAATCCCAACATTTGGGAGATGGCAGCAAGAGAATCAGGAATTCAAAGTCATTCTCTGCCACATATCAAGTTTAAGGCAAGCCTAGAACTTGAAACCTTTTCTGGGAAAAAGAAAGAAAGTGACACGTGTGTGACTCCTTTTCACCAGCATTAGTCGCTTTGGTTCACCTTCCCTGAGTTTCCTCCCTTGTCAGCACAACGGTTTCTGTTTTGTGTGTTCTTTCCCATGCAGTGGGTAGACAACACTGGCTCAGCCCCACAGAAGAGGACCCCACTCTCAGCAGGACTAGAGCACACTTTACATCAGCACCAGCTGCGAATCCAGGACCAGGAATTCCAGGAAGGCTTTGATGGTGGCTGGTGCCTCTCTATGCATCAGCCTTGGGCTTCTCTCCTTGTCAGAGGGATTAAAAGGTAAGAATTGAAGTTCTTAGGGCTAGAGAGATAGCTCAGCGGTTAAGAGCACTGGCTATTCTTTGAGAGGTCCTGAGTTCACTTCCCAGCAACTACATGATGGCTCACAGCCATCTATAATTCGATCTGGTGCCCTCTTCTGGCATGAAGTCATACATCAGACAGAACACTGTATACATTTTTTTAAAAGTTTTTAAAAAAAGAGTTGGAATTCTTACCTTTTCAAAATAATTGAAAGTCACAGTCTTAGAGTGATAGACGTTTGACTTAGAATTGTGAATTGGTGCTCCTTTGTACCCGTCTGCTGGAGACTTAGATAGTGTTCAATGCATATAACTCTAAACATGGCTAAGTATGTTACACAGCAGGGTAGCGGTGGTGCTAGGATGTGCGCCACCACCACCCAGCTTACTGTGTTTCTTCTTAATTCATATTTAAACTCCCCTTTTCTTCACTTCTATACATGGAAATAGAAGGTTGTAAAAATGAAAGATAGCCAGTGGCGGTGGTGGCGCACGCCTTTAGTCCCAGCACTCGGGAGGCAGAGCCCTGTGAGTTCGAGGCCAGCCTGGGCTGCAGAGCAAGAGCCAGGACAGGCACCAAAACTACACAGAGAAACCCTATCTCATAAAAACAAAAAATGTGAAAAATAGCTAGAAAGAGATCATATATAATCTTACTCCCTAGAAACAGTTAGCTGCTGTTAGTGCTTTGAAATGTTTCTTTTATCTTTTCTTTTTTTTTTTTTTTTTTTTGACATGGTTTCTCTACAGAGCCCTTTCTGTGCTGGAACTTATAATGTAGACCAGGCTGTCCTCGAACTGAAATCCAGAGATCTGCCTGCTTCTGCCTCCAGAGTATTGGGATTAAAGGTGTGCCACCATGGCTGACTTAGAATGTTTATTTCCATTGTTTTCCTATGTGAATCAATACTTAGTGAGACCATGTTATATATTTTGTTTGGGTTTTTTATTTCATTTATCATTTATACTGTGTGCTCATTTTTCCCTTCCTCTTCTAGAATTTTATATGCTGGCAATGTCCTAATATTTATATGTTATTTGTTTACTGATATGTATGTATATATTATATATGTATACATATATTAGTGTATATATTAGTTATGTATGTTAGTACATACTTCTTTTGAAATAGGGTTTTAGTTTCTAAAGGAGTAGTTGTGAATCCCAGGCTAGTACTTTACAGTTCACAAATGAAGACACTGAGGCAGGCAAAGGTAAGCTAGATGCTCTGACTTACAGAACCAGACTTCGGGTTTTCAGTGTTCCCGCACTCTTCTGTTTCGGCTGCAGTTGTTCTCTATTTAGAAATGGTCATTTGTGGGTGTTGTTAACGTCTTCCCTCCTTGGTTTACTAAGGTGCACCAGGCACTTTCCTCCCCTGAAAGTCATGCTTTCTTGCTTTGGCTCTGTTGCTTGACAGTCGGTCCATGTGTACAATGCTGTTAGTACAGAGAAGCATGAGTCTGCTTCTCTTTATGACAGCCAAGCCCTCAGATGTCTGTTCTCATTCACTTCCTGTTTCCTTTCGTCCTTTTCCCATGTAGGAGATGGAACAGCATACACTCCTCAGCTTTGGGAGTCCAAATGCTTTTGTTCTCTCCTGGTTTGGGTCTGTTATGTGTCTTTTCTCATGCAAAAGAACAGGATGAACAGCATCTGTCACATAATCACTCACCCTCTGGGAGTCAGTGGGTGGTTCTTTCATGCTTGTGGGACCATTTTCCCAGTACTCTTCAGGTTATTTGGCCAGAGGGAAAACATACATTGCTTCATTCCCTGTAATGATCACTCACAGTGTATCTGACATTCTTAATTCATCTATATTGGAACACTAAGAATATGTGCCTGGGGCCTGGTGGTGGTGGTGGTGGTGGTGGTGGTGGTGGTGGTGGTGGTGGTGGTGGTGGTGGTGCACACCTTTAATCCCAGTACTCAGGAGGTAGAGGCAGGTGGATCTCTGCTTGGTGTACAGAGCAAGTTCCAGGACAGCCAGAGCTGTTACAAAGAGAAACCCTGTCTTGAAAAACCAAACCCCACCCCCCACACCTCCAAAAAAAGAATGAGATTGGGGTAAAGATGCTTGTTACCAAGCCTGGCAAACTGAGTTTGATCCCCCAGAGCCCACATGGTAGAAGAAAACCAGCTCCCCAAAGTTGTCCTCTGACCTCCATTTGTGCCTGTACATATACATATATGCACTTAAATAAATACATGTCTTTACAAAAAAAAGAGAGAGTGCTGTAGAGATGGTTCAGTGGTTAAGGGCCCTTGATGTACTTCTGGATGACCCAAGATAAGATCCCAGAACAAATATCAGATGGCTCAGAACCCTTTGTTGGAGCTGATCTTCCTTGGGTCTCTGAGGACATATGTGACATATATACATAGAGACATACGGACATACACATAGTGTCTAGGGACTCACTAGATATCGCTGCCTGGCCAGGAATTCACCCTGTAGACCAGGCTGGCCTCAGACTCACAGAGATCCTCCTGTTTCTGTCTCTCAAGTGCTGGGATTAAAGGTGTGAGCCACCACACCTGGCCCCTGACACTAAGTTTGATCCCCAGAACTCATAATGGAAGGAGAGAAGCAACTCCTCCAAGTTGTCCTCTAGCCTCCATAAGAAAGCCGTGTGTCATATGTGCCCTCCCTACAAGTAAATAAATGTAATAACTTAATTATAAACTTGGGCTATAGAAATCCCAAGACAAGTAACAGTTGCGGATCTGAATTTCAGAGATCAGGTGACAAATAAGAGTTGAGAGAAATGACTAATGGTGAAGTCAGGAGAGGTTATCGGACAGAGTTCAGTTCAACTTTAAGGGAAAGGTATTGTGGGAGAAGTATTGCTAACAAAAGAATCCCTCTTGGGGCTGGAGACATGGCTTAGAGATTAAGAGCACTGACAGCTCTTCCAAAGGTCCTGAGTTCAATTCCCAGCACCTACATGGTGGCTCACAATCATCTATAATGAGATCTAGTGCTCTCTTCTGGCATAAAGGTGTACATGCAGGCAGAACACTATAGATATAATAAATAAATAAATAAATCTTAAAAAAAAGAGAGAGAGAGAGAAAGAGAGAGAATCCCTCTTGATGAAGTATCTTCTTTTGATCTCTTGGTCCAGTTGGATAATTTGCCATAGGATTTGCTGTATATTATGGGATCTTCAAGGAAACTAGAATTTAGAGCCTTCCTATTAAATTTGTGTTTAAGGGTGGAGGGCAGATCCTGGTATACGGCTCACAGAGGAAGACTTTGGATAGCAGCCACCGGCAAAAAACCCTCCCCTCAAGAAGTCTCAGAACTCCAGGCTACCTATTGTCTTCTTCGTGGGAAAGGTAACAGCCACATATGTACTCGGTTTTCAGTCTCCCTTTTTCCTGATTGTTCATTCTCCTATTTCCTTCTTCCTTTGGCTTTTTCTTGTGTTAAAACCTCACATTTATCTATTAGTTTGATTTGGAGACAGGGTCTCTCAGTATAGCCCAGCTGCCATGGAACTCACTATGTAGTTAGGCTAATTCAAACTCAAGGTGGTTTTCTTGCCTCAGCCTCCCAAATTGTAGGATAAGAGGTATCAGCCTCCACACTCAACTATTAATGTGTTGAGTGATAAGTCACAGATGCCTATTCAAAGCATTAATTTCTCTAAAAACTCAAGACTGTGTATGGTGGGACATAGCTTTAATCCCAGCACTTGGGAGGTAGAAGCAGATGGATCTCTCTTGAGTTTGAGGCCCATTTGGTCCTTGTAATGAGTTCTAGGCTAGCCAGAACTTCATAGTGATACTCTATTTAAAAAAATTTTTAAATTAAAAATTAGAAAATGTAAATAAATATTTCACAAACCAAAAGAAATCAATCAACTAATCTTCATTTTTTAAAAAATTTTAGTTATTTTATAAGTTTTGTCTGCTTGTAAATATGTGTGTGCAGTGCCCATGGAGACCAGAAGAGGGTGTTAGATTCCCTGGAACTAGAGTTGCCAATAGATGGTTGTGAGCTGTCGTGTGAGTGCTAGGAACTGAACCCAGGTCCTCAGGAAAAGCAGCCTTAACTACTCTTAAAAAAAAGTGCTCTTAACTACTGCACCATTTATTCAATCCTTAATGGGAGATTATCTCTCTGTCTGTCAATCTATCTATCTATCTATCTATCTATCTATCTATCTATCTATCTGTCTATCATCTACCTATCTATCTATCTATCTATCTATCTATCTATCTATCTATCCATCTGTCTTTGAGACAGGGCCTTATGTATACCTTGGTTGGCCTGGAACTTGATATGTAGACTAGGCAGCCCTTGAACATGCATAGATCCACCTTCTTCTGCCTCTTAAGTGCCGGGACTAAAGGTGTGAGCCACCACACCCAGCCAACCAGCTAGTCTTAGTTGTGTAATCTGAGAAAACCTTCCATCTGTTTATTGTGGAAATAAAATAAGTGATGGGAGATAAAGTAAGAAAAAACCCACATAAGAATTTCGTGAGGCTGGAGAGATGGCTGGGTGTTAAGAGCTCCTTCCGCTTTTTGTAGGGGACCCATGCTGGGCAGCTCACAAGCGCCATAACTCCACCTTCAGTGGACTCTGACACCTCTGACTTAGGTGGGCACCTGCACTCATGTGCACATACCTGGACACATATGTACATATAATTCCAAGTAATAAAAATAATTCTTACTTTTAAAAGGAATTTTAGCTCTTGGGCACCTTGTGGTCCCTCCTATTCTGGCCCATACAGTTGTGAAGACAAAAGGAAGATAGTTATAGAACCACCTTTGAAAGTTCTGAGAAACCATCTGATGCAGTCACAGTCAAAATGCATAGTCCTTAAAAACACATTTCTGGGGCTGGAGAGATGGCTCAGCAGTTAGGAGCACTGACTGCTTTTCTAGAGGACCTGGATTCAGTTCCCAGTACCCACATGACAGCTCACAGCTGTCTGTAACACCAGTTTCGGGGATCCTGCACCCTCACACAGACACACATGCAGGCAAAACACCAGTGCACATAACAAAAATAAATTTAAAAAACAAATGAAGCAAAGCCCCGATGTATACCTTTAATCCTAGGGAGAGACTGGTGGATCTCTGAGTTAGAGGCCAGCCTGGTCTATAGAGCTAGTTCTAAAATAGCCAAAGCTACATAGGGATACCCTGTCTCAAAAAAAAAAAAAAAGAAAAAAAAGAAAGAAAGAAAGAAAGAGAGAGAGAGAGAAAGAAAGAAAAGAAAAAAAAGATAAAAAGATGACATTTATTCTTCTGTTTGTTTTATCATACTTTTTATACTTTTATGTTGTTTTTTTTCTCATCACCTATAGCTGCTTTTCTTTTTTCCTAGAACACTGTATCTCCTGTTCTAGTTTTATTTCCTTGGCTGTGATAAAATTCTGTGACCCAAAGTAACTTAGAGGAGAAAGGGTTAAAGGTTTGTTTTAGCTCAGAATCCCGGGTTTTAGTGCATTATTTTAGGAAGCCACGGTGGTAGGAACTTGAAGCAAGTACTCCCCTCATAGCCACAGTGAAGGAGAGTCAGCCACATCTCAGCTGGCTCTTCCTCGGGTACCTTGCTCCACCCTCACATGACTCAGGACTCTTCTTAGAGAACAGAGCTGCTGGTGTTGACCGCCCGCCTCTCACTGAGACTCCTCCAGGACTGTGGGTTGTGTCGGTCGAGAGTCAAAGTTAACCATCACACCCCCGGACTCTAATCCCGTCCATTTGTGAGTATATTAGAGTTAAATTGCTCAGAATTAACTAGAGAGGCCTTGAACCTGATGTTATATGGAGGATTTTTCTAAAGTAAAAAAAGCTTCCAAATTTAGCATGTAAATAGTAAATTAAGCTAGTCACTCACTAGATTTTTGCTAAAATACAAGCAGTGTGCCATACAAAAAACTTCACAGTTTTCCTTTGCTTCTACAAATAGATGGAAAAGTTATATGTTCAGAATTCAAAGCAGATTCCTGAGTTCCAGGGTCACAGAAAAGAAAATTTGTCCAATCCTTTTGTTGTTTTCTATTTAGATTTGGAATTTCCGAATGACTATCCGTCAGGTTGTCTTCTGGGCTGTGTGGACCTAATTGATTGCTTGTCCCAGAAACAATTTCAGGAGCAGGTGAGTACTGAGTTCTTCTTGTGGGCAGACACGTGCTTACTAGTATGACAGGTTCCTGTCCTTTTATTTAATGGTTGCTGCCTTTTAAGCCACAGCTGCCCGAATCAGCAGCTGCAGCTCCACCGCCCCCAGCAGCGATGAGGCAGCAAGGCCCGCAGCGGAGGGAGTCTGTTCCCTCAGCTCCGACTCCTGCAAACAGGCTGAATAGCAAGTAGCTCACCTTCTCTCCTCCTTCTCCTCCAAAAAGCCCTCATGCCTCTCCTCACCCTCCTTATAAACCCTTTCTCACCGGGCTTCTCCCTACCACTTCCTGTCAGCTATCACTGACTCAGCCTCCTGACCGCAGGTGAATTTTGTTTCATCAAACACATCTTTGCATCATTAAACAAATGTTCCAGAGCACAAACAAATGTAACACACCTTGAAATAATAGTCTACAACAGGTTCTCGATCCTCATAGCAGACTATTCTGAAGACAGTAAGGTGCTAGCAATTTAAACGGAAGAAGAAAGGTCTCTCTCTGTCCCCCTCTTTCTTTTCTGAGAGACTTGTGGCCCAGCTCAGGCTGGCTTCAAATTCACGGTCCTACTTTCTCTGCCTCCAAAGGAGTCTGCCGTGTTGTATCCTGCTTTGTTTTGTTTTGAGCCATATCCCAGGCTGAACTGGAACTTACATACACCCCTTGAACTTGTGGTTCTGCCTTGGAGCGCTGAGATTACAGGCATGCAACCACCAGCCCCAGCTTCAGGACAGACCATGTTTGAGTGTACACTGGAGGGCGAATAGCAGTAGGTCAGAAACAGAAGCACTAGGAGTTGGCTTGGTTTCCAGGGCATGGGGAAGTAGCAGAGCTGCATTTCTAAAAACACTGTCACACAGTCCAGGAAAGGGAGTGTAAGGCCTTCATCCTTTCTTTACGCTTTGCTCTCTAGGTTGGGCGGAAGGGTGCACACCTATATCCCAGTGCTTCGGAGGCAGAGGCAGGCAGATTTCTGTCAGTTGGAGGCCAGATCTACATAGCAAGTTCCAGACCAGCCAGGGCTACAGAGTGAGGCTCTATCTAAAAAAAAAAAAAAAAAAAAAAGCAAAGCAAAAGTTCTTTAAATGAAGAAACTCTAAAGTAACGCTTTTCATTTTGACTGGATGGTGGGTGTGGATAATCTGTTTTGGCTTATCCTGAAGCATTTCTTCCAGACCATTGAACTCATGATAGGCAAGTGTGTTTGAACTTGGTTTGATTTGTGCCATGTTGGGGTATGTTTGTACAAGTGAACATACATATGTATTAAATTCTTTTAAATCTCTGAACATTAAATTGACACGCCACAAACACGTTGTGAACAGTAGGGGGCACCAAATAACTTTAATTCACTGGGAAATTCCTCAAATGTAGAGTTTGGGCTCCGATTGGCAGGACTCAAAAAATGGCCAAATCCATCCTTGAAGCAGAAAAAGTCTTACAGACCATGTTGTTTTCCTGTTCTTTGAGCACTTAATTTAAGCATTTGGGCTTCTACTGCTGTGCCTGAGAAACGTACTTCTCCTTAGTTTGACTCAGTAAGTCGTTTTTTCCAGGTGTTTGCTGCCGCCTTTTTCTTGCTGTGCTGGATGAACCCAGGGCTTCATGCATTCTAGTCAGATATCCCAACACTAAGCTATGCCCCCAGCCTCCCAAATGCTTCTTCCTTCTTTCCTTCCTTCCTTGCTTTCTTTTTGTCTTTCTGTCTTTTCAAGACAGCATCTCACTGTGTAGCCCTGACTGTCCTGGAACTCACTCTGTAGACCAGGCTGGCCTTGAACTCACAGAGATCCGCCTGGCTCTGACTCCTGAGTGTTGGGATTAGAGTCAAGTGCCACTACACCAGCTCCCCCCATTTTTTTTTTTTTAATTTATTCTTTCTAGCCACCTAACTCTCTCAATACTTCCCTTGCAGATTTTAGCCAGCAATTCTTATCTCCCTAGATTTCTTGATATTTTTGTCAGTTTGTTTTTATTTTGGTTTGGTTTTGCCTTTGGGTTTGATTTTGAGACAAGGTGTCACCATAGTAGCCTAGGCTGATCTTGAGCTTACAGTCTTCCTGCTTCAACCTCACAAGTGCTAGAATTAATTTTTTAGAGGTGGGTATTTTCTTTGTTTTTATTTTACGTGTCTGTGCACCACATCCAGGCAGTGCCCACAGAAACCAGGAGAGGGCACTGGAGCCAGAGATACTGCAATTGGAACTGGAGCTATAGTTGTGAGCTGCCAGGCGGGCGCTAGGAACTGAACCTGGGTCCTTTGGAAGAACATCCAGTGTTCTTAACCATCTCTCCAGCACCCCCAAGTGCTGGGATTATCGGTGGCCACCACCATCCCTGGCCTGTCTTTCATTTTGATTTTGCTTGTTTTGTTTTCTCCTTTCTTCTTCTCTCCTCTCTCCTCTCCTCAAGACAGAGTCTCATGTGCTGGGACTGCCAGGTATGTGCCACCAAACTCTGCTATGGTTTTTTTGAAACTGGGTCTTAGCCTAGGCTGGCCTCAAACTCCATCTCTAGGTGTAGATTATCTGATCCTCCTGCCTCAGTCTCCCAGGTGATGTTATAGGTATGACCCCAACACCCAGCACTGCCAGTGATTTTCTTAGGGCTGCCTTCTCTGTCTCTTCTGTTTACTTACGTGCCCACTGCATGCGTTTGGGTGTGAGGTTGACGCCCGTTCTTTTGCTCTGCCCTTAGCACCCAATCTAGACCCAGACAAAGCATAGGGATGTGGAGGCTTTCATCTCCAGGCCATGGCACCTCTACTTTTGTTTTCTTTCCACCTCTGTTCGTTTCCATGTCATGGCCCTCCCTTCCTGCTATGGAAATAAACATACTCGTTTCTTTGCTCTTTGTTATGATACACTACCCAACAGAAGCAACTTGAAGGAGAGAAGGTCAGTTTGGGATCATGGTTCCGAGCACACAGTGGGAAAGGCTTGGCCTTAATGTCCAGTTCTTGGTGGTGCAAGCTTGCACCTACTGCTGCTCACAGCGGGGCAGATCACGAAGCAGAGAGAAGGACCACAGTTAGGGCTGTAACCCTCAAAGGCCCCCTTCAGTGATCCATCTCCACCCTCCAGGCCCCCACAGCCTCCCAAAAGAGCACCAGCAGCTGGGGACCACATGAGTCTAGGGGGGACATTTTTAAAATTCAGACCATAACAATGAAAACTATAATCTTAATGTGTGGGGTATTCCTGAGGGTTGCTGTCATTAGAAATCTAATTAACAAATCTTGTTTTCTCAAGGATACTCTTCCTTCGGGTCAGCATGATGCCTCTCCTTGAGCTTGGGTTTATTGTGTGTTATGTACTGAAGTTGCTGAGGACAGTATGAGAAATGCCAGATTCTTCCCACATGTTCCATGATGGAGATCCTGGCAACTCTCCTTACCGAATGCCCTTAGGTATGCCATGAACTTATATCAAAAGGCTAGTTGTTAGGTTTCATGGAACATTGAAATCTCTCATACGCTTTCCTCGTGGTCATTAGCTTTTCTGTGGCTTTCTCCATTACTTTCTGTGTTTTGAGAGTATCATATGAATATGTTCAGAGTAGATAATAACTTAGTTTTGTGTTTATTTGAGACAGGGCCTCACTATGTAGCTCTGACTGGCCTGGAACTCTCTGTGTAAACTTCTCTCTGTGTAGCCTTGAACTGTCTCTCCTGCCTGTGTCCGGGGATGAAAAGCACGCACCACTCCCTGCCTTATTTTTCTTATTATCTATGTGTGTGTGCACGTGGGCTTGTGTACATGTAACTTATGAAGCCAGAGGTGTCAGAGTTCCCAGGAGTTAAAGTTATAGGCCGTTGTGAGCCACCTAACTTAACCACTGAGCCATCTCTCCACTCGAGTGGATCCTGTCACTTTTAGAAATGGTTGCTGTCTTTTGCCCTCACCCCGACTGCCAGCTTCTGTGTTTGGCTTTACCTGAATTCTGGGGACTCAAACCCGGGTCCTCATGCGTTAGCAGCCAGCACTTCACCACTGAGTCAGCCCAGTGTTTGATCTGTGGTGCTGTGGAGTAAACCCAGGACCTTGTTCGTTCTAGGCAATTGCTCTACCAGTCTGAGCCTAAATCCTATTTCTAAGTAAATGAGTTGGTATTTTGGGGAAATAGCCCTATCCTAGGATTTCACAAAGTACTTCAAGTAGGTGTTCCCTGAAATTAGTGTACATCTGGGAAACATCTTTGGATTAAACAAATCTGTTTACCATAGAGTTTCTCAGAGCCTTTAATATGCAAGTAGGAATTAAGACTCTCTAAGAGGTAGACAATAGAATACAGTGTTCCTAAACATTTTCCTCCCTGAAGCAGTGTTGGTAATCAGCCCCAGGACCTGGCACAGTGGGCAAGTGCTCTACCACTGAGTTACTGCCCAGGCCCCCTCACACACACTCATTGCCTGTTTACATACTACAGAGCTGTGTCTAAGCGTGCACAGTTTGGGATGTACATGGCAGGCTTTTCTTTACCCTCTTAAGTTCAGCTTACTGAACAACAACCATCCAGGAAACAGTTTCTACCCTGTGTCTTCAGCATTGCAACGTGGATTCTTATCAACCAGCTGAGTCGAATTTTCTTTGAAAAACTGTGGCACTAACAAACTTTATGTCAGCTGAAACTAACTTCCTATGTGACTTGGAACACATTTTTTCTTCAGCATACTGTTGCTAACATTTTCCTTCCCCAGAGAAACTTGGTAATTTATTTCTGACCTCACATTCTTGGACTGCCTTTGATAAATTAAAATATACTAAGCTCTCACTATTTTTGGCATAGTGTGATCATTTAGTTCTCTAAAAAGAATAAGAATAGCAAAATTTGTTTCATAGTACTTTTGAAATCAAGTGCACTACACTCTAAATGGTCTTTTAAAAAGTATGTGCTGAACAGGCTTACTTTTATCTCTTTAAAGCAAGTTTAGCCAGCATGGCTAATTTATACCGGGGGCGAAGGGGGAGGTCTCACTAAA